GTAATTTTCAGGTTCTAATATATTGCATTTTCCCATGGACTTGGGTAAATTTTAGTTACGAGTAAATTGCATAAATGGTCTCTAAACTATCATTATCATATTGTTTTGGTCCTTCAACTAATAAATCTATCATTTTAGTCCTTATTCTATTTGATGCATTTTAATTTGGTCCTTCTGTTAGTTGTGGCCGTTTACATTCACGGTGGTCAACCATTCAGCATTTATAAATTGTTGTAATAGCCATCCTTAACTAAATAATTCCCTATTTGCCAAAAAAAGAAACCATTCCCTTATCAATAAATATTAACCTTAATAAAACATATTTTTGAGTTTTCCCCCGGAATAATGCTAATTAAATAAATTATTCCCGAAATACTGCCGGTTCAAAAATAATTCCCGAAATACTGTTGGGGTTAACCATGGTTAAGCAAAGCCGCCACTCCAAGTGGCGGCTCTTCATCGTGCTATACAAAAGCCGCCACTTGAAGTGGCGGTTCTTCTATACGTATACAAAAGCCGGCACTTGAAGTGTCGACTCTTGTGTTAAGCAAGCTGCTGAACTATTAATTACACAAATAAACCTGTAGTTACCAGAAAATCGGCTTATCACAGTCAATTCTACTCAAACAAACAACCAAACATATGATTTACTAAGACAAAATACATCTGAAACACAAAACGAATCAATGAAACTCATTGCATCACGACACTTAAAATAAGACATAAAAGTTATAATAAATCCGACGTTTTCACAAAATGATTCGATGTGTCAGTGCATGTTACAACTCTCACACAATAATACAAATACAAAGATCATAAGTCAACGTGAGAGGTTGTCAGGTTGTCAGGTTGTATGGGCAACACAGTCGCTTCTTCAACATATATCTTCATGGTATGCATAGCAAGATTCGTGATCAAGGTCCACATCCCCGTAACGGCTTCGTCGTCAGCAAGAGGCATCAACATGTATGACCCACCATGAACGGGATACTTAACTTTCAAATCCAACTTGTTCATACGATTGATGAATGTGGCGGTATAAATTTTATTGGAATTTTATCAATTCAGGACCCGAAAGATAGATGAATTATCAATCCGGGACCTGAAAGATGAAATGCATCAATATAGGACCCGAATGATGAAAAACTATCAATTTAGGACCTGAATGATTGAAAACTACTCCCTCCGTCCCTTAAAACTTTGTCATCTTTCCTTTTTGGGATGTCCCAAAAAACTTTGCCACTTTCCCTTTTAATCAATTATTTTGTGGTTTTTGTTATTTCTCTCTCCTCTGCACAAACCTCAACCACACGGTTTTTACTTTATTATTCTCCGTGTCGGTCAACTTTGGCAAAGTTTTAAGGGACGGAGGTAGTATTAATTTAGGACCTAAGTTGTCATAAATTTTATTTTATTTTTTATTTTAAAAATTTTAAATATTATTTAGTTTTGTTAAACTAATAAACTTTTGTGAAGAAAAGTCTGTCAAAAATTAGTAATGGAATTAATAAAAAATTAAATAAATCAAAACTTATGAAACATTAGGTCCTAAATTGATAGTTTTCCATCATTCGGGTCCTATACCGATATGTTTCATCTTTCGGATCCTGAATTGATAATTAATCTATCTTTCGGGTCCTATATTGATAAAATTCCAATTTTATTCATTAACTCAGCCACATCCACCCCATAGGAAACAACAATTATCTTCCGACTCCCCCCTTCACAACGAATTCCGTTCGACTCCTCGGTTATATTTCCTCCCCAATGACACACAATGGGGAAGTTTGGAGACATATTCTATCAAAAATCATTCCAAAAAAATGTGATTTATGTCGCACATTGAAAACTAAACTACTAATTCCAACAAACTGTATTAAATCATATGTATCATTTTATAGATTTCATCCAATCACAAAATCTGATAGATGCATATCAATGATGTGCTACATTACTCTTTTCCAAACTACCCGTATATCAAACTCAATCCAACCAACACAATAAAAAAATCAAATTCTACAAATTATATAAAATCAAGCATAATAACTAAATTACCAACTTATATATCTCATAACATCAAATACAAAAAAAAAACTAAAAAAGAGTGATATTCTAACAAAAATTTAAAAAAACCTAGGTTTAGCAAAATAGATGAATTACCTCGCCTGAAACAGTTGAAAGTCGGTAGAATGGAGCACAAACGACCTCAGGTACACCATGTCTCTTTTCCCTTTGATTCAAAATCAATCCAACCAACACAAAAAATAATTCAAATTATACAAATTATATAAATTCAATCATAATAACAACATTAAGAACTTATATATTTCATAACATCAAATACAAAGATTTTTTTTTAAAAAAACACTAATTTCGAACATTAAATTAAAAAAACCTAGATTTAGCAAAAGTGGTGAAATACCTCGATTCAAACGTTTAAAAGGCGGTAAAATGGAGCACAAACGACCTTGGGTACAACGTGTCTCTTTTGCGTTTGATTTGAGCTTCGTTTGGGGGCGTTCTGGCCAGAATTGGAATGGTTCACACCATTCGTCGTTCGTCGTTCGTGCAGATGGGTGGTGGTTTTGTCGTCTGTGTTCGTCGACTGGGAAGAAGGGGGGTTTTCTGCGAATTAATGAGCCACCACTCGAAGTGGCGGCTTTTGTGATACAGGAGAAGAGTCGCTACTCGAAGTGGCGGCTTTTGTGAAGTTATACAAGAGCCGCCACTTTAAGTGGCGGCTTTTCTTAACAGTGGTTAATTCCAGCAGTATTTTGGGAATTATTATTAACTGGGCAGTATTTCGGGATATATTTATTTAATTAGCATTATTCCGGGAAAAAACTCCATATTTTTAAACATTAATATGCTGCCCTTACTCAACAACAAATTACTCAAGCATATTATTAAATACTAACTTCTAGTGATTAAATGTTTAAATAATATGTCATTATTTTTTCCGTTATGAATACTCCGTTGAGTAATAATTTTAATAATAATAATAATAAGTGTTACTCCGTATTATTATTAACAATATAATAATATAACTAATAATAATTAATTTTACCTCTCCACAAAATTATATGATACGTATACTTTTTTCAGCCCAACTAACTAAAGGTCAACCACAAGTGAAAACAAAATACTTAGTGTAGTATGGATTGAGACTAATGCACCTAATCTTTTTGAAAAGAAATCCATCTAAGTTATACGTAAATGTTAATAAAATCATTGAAAAATACTAAATTACGGACATCTCTATTTGACCAACTCGATCTATTCAGCACAAATGATAGTATTTAAAATCATTCAATACAAATATTCCACCGGTCACAAACTTGATTGGCAAAACAAAGTTTTTTTGGGAAAAACTTCAAATCAGTACATGAGACACAAAAAGATTACTTAAGCGATTACAATTGTTCTTTCTTGCATGTCCTAATATTATGACCTTTCCCACCACATTTATGACATGTCATCGCGACGCCCTTTTTCCTCAACTTAGTAGCTCCAGTGTTTGTATTTACTTCATTCGCTTCTTTCTTTCTTTTAGTCTTCGGTCTACCAGGTTGTTTCTTTTGAACCTGAGGCGGTCTTGACTTAAAATCTCAATCTGGCCACTGTCCTAAGGTAGATTGTTACTTGCCTGTCAGGTGGTCGATTTCTACACATTTCTAAAACATCTTCATCACCCACTATTAATAGAAAAGGAGATTCTTCTACATTGGGGGTATAACGTTTCCAATTAAAACAAACCAGTCTGGTATGCTGAATTTCCTTTGCCATGGCCACCAACTCCATTTCATAGAAATCAAAATAATTAATTGTAATACATCTACGCTCGAATTGCTCGTTTACAGTGGCAGGAAGACCTCCACAGACCATTTCAATTGTGAAATAGTCAGAATTATCATCGGCAAGTTAAAAGTTGAGAATAAAAATGAATCCCAATTCTAAAACATAATTAAAGTAATTCATTAATACATATAGCTTAAGATTTTAGATCAGTTAACAAACCAACATTCACAAAGATGAAATACGAGTAAATAAAGAATTAGTTCTTCAAAAAACAATTCTGCTAACAAGAATTAATTGTTAATGGAAGTAGTTCATATTCTTCAAAATTTACAAATTAATATTAGCTAGGAGGAGGATATAACATAAGTGTTGCCAGATTCTAGGTAGGAGCAGCTATGTACTGTCTTCATTTACTCACAGGTTTGGAACTATATATACATATAAATACATTTAAAAAGAATAAATCATAAATGGTCATCTCCTAGGAGCGGCTGGTGCTCAAAGAAGGAGAAATTGGATATTAAGGCAACTTTATGAAAACTCAATCATTTTGTTTGAACCATACAAGTAAACTTTTTTATGGGGAAGATTGATTTGTCTACTAAAGCTGAAAGAGGTTCATTCAAATAAATTTGCTTCACTTAGGATTAAGTTCTTCCTCATTTGTTTTACATGTTTAGGATGAATACCTTCATATATTGAACATAAGCATTGTAAATAAATAAAAAATCATAAGTTGGTTTAGAACAAATATCAAACACTTGGTGTGCACAAAGGTTTCATCTCTACCACTCACAATGATGAAGTAAATGCATTCGATAGAATCAAATACAACACCATGAAAGTTGAGACAAGAAAATACCCATTCTGAGTTTACAACCTCAACTTGGTACTCACCTCTAACTCCTCTAAAAATATTAAAATAGGATACTGAGTCACTATAATATTAAGGGATCAAATCATATTTAATTACTTAGCATATACCTTCTTCTCTGTAATCTCACTTGTTCTTAAGCTCCAACTCTTATTTGTACTTTAGTGATGAAATTTAATTAAAAGAATATGTTGTAATTGTATTTTAAATAAAGAGAGATGAGTTTTAAAAGTTTGGAAAGTTTGACCAGGCCACAACTAAAAGAATGACCAAATTAAAATTCATTAAATAGAATAAGTTGAAGGACCAAACAATAAGAGGATAGATAGTTTCATTTGTGCAGTTTACTCTTTGGTTGCCCGTAACAAATGGGTGGGGTGACATTAATGGAGAAACGTAACGGAGAAATGGGGAAGAGCTCCCCCTCTCGCGAAATCAAGCAATCGCAAGAAACCAGGCGTAGATTTCTACGAGGATGCTCGGCAATTTTCATGTGAGTCAGAATCTGAAACGGCTATCGGTGCATTGTCAGCTAGTCAACTACTCGTACTTGTTGCTTTCTGCACCCGACTCACCAAAATTTCTTCCCAATTTCCACCAAAGACCCATTCTTTTTCATAGTTTGGCCTCGCATCTTTGCATCGTTACAGTTACACCCCGCCGCACCTGATATAGAGAGATGCCCCACTCGGAATTTGAAAAAGTGTGTGAGAAGTGGAAAACTGAAACCCTTTTTCCTTCTCTTTCGGTGGCTCCTCCAGAACTTCAAGCACACCTTCACTCCAATCCAATTGCTCTTCACCGAACCATATAACCATTCAGTAAGCTCTTGCTATGCTTCTATATTTGCTTTTTCAGTGCGTTTGTTGTGTGGAATGATGTTTGTTTGCTTAAATTTATTTGTGAAATTCAAATTAGTTGGGTCATGGTTATGGGTTTTCCTCACCGCACAAATATCAGCCAGCTCTATTGGCTCTGATCATTTGATTTTGGTGGATTATTTAGTTTACTGAAACTCTGGAAGCATAATAGGATTGAAATTGGTTTGGTTATTTGGTTGTCTGTTGATTTCCTGTTCGCCAATTCTGTGATGAATGTTAATTGCTTATAGTTTTGAGTTCCGCCTGGTGGGGCTACTCTCATGAAGATAATAAAAAAGTAGACCATATCATTTGAAACTTTAAGAGCTATTTAGGAGTGTTTCCGCATGAACTTAAATGGCCGATTTTAGGAAATTATTGATGGCTAATCATTTGAAATGTTCTCATCTTGATCGGTTTTCTCCTCTTAACAATAATGTTCTTGTGTTTTACCTGGTCGTTATAAGCTTTGAAGGATCTCTCAGTACATGGGAAAAAATTAGCCTTTTCTTAAACCATAGCTTTATACTTGTAAGTGAACATTTATTCTATGCCTTTTTCTTTATATTAAAGTATAATTTATTAAATTCGCTTTTCACTTTTATAGATGTTAAAGTATAATTCATGAACTTCGCTTTTCGCTTTTATAGTAAAATGTACATGTGCTTTTATGAATATTTCTAATTACATGCTATTGTTCATTTGTTAAATTTTTCTGTAGCTGGAATGGGAGGATGCTGTTGTTCTGCAAGGAAGAATCTGCTCCAGGGAACCCATGTATTTCACTATGTGGGTACTCATTTGAATTATATGATGTCTTTTATGTGAGACGTTTGTAACTTCTTACTTGGTCAGTGCTATTATCTAAGGTAGATAACATTAGAGATCATCATCTCTTCTTTTTTTGCAGTATGGTTGTGAGGCTTGATGTTGTCTCTTTTGTTAAATTTAGTGCAAATTTTTTATGAATAAGTATGTTGAGAGTTTGAATTTATTATTAATATTATTAATATTAGAGGGTCTTTTGGTTTGTCCTATAATATTACTAGATAAAATTTATGGATAAAGATACGAGTACATCATCATTAGAGTCAGTGTGAAAACCCTACTACAATGGAAGATCACCATACTATTACTACCCACCATAGTCGCTGCTTTTATAAGTCATATTTTGTACATCACTTATTTTGGTCAATTATTTGCCACGGTATCTTATTATTATTATTATTATTATTATTATAATAATAATAATAATAATAATAATAATAATAATAATTATTATTATTATTATTATTACTATTTCGACAGTATTCGCCGTCTTCAGAGGAGCATGAGTCTTTGACGTCAAATGACAGTGCAGCCACTGGATTCACAACTGATTTGGACCTTGATACATCAAGCCCTGACACTTTCCACCCGCCGCCCAGGCCAATTCCATTTGATGCACTCTTGGGGTGTCCACAACCATCTGATGCCATAGATTCAAGGTTCAGTAAATGCAGTGATTAGACTTCCTATAGCTGTGATAAAACTCTGCATAGTTATTAAAGTTTTTGACTCGTCTCTTCCTTCTTCAAGGAAAAATGAGCTTGAACATGTAAAATCAAGTCCGCTTGCCCTTTCCCTGGACGAAGAAGAGGATGTTTGTCCCACTTGTCTTGAAGGTATGTTTACAATCATAGCAACTGAACTACTTGAATCGCATAATATTTTGTGCTAATTGCATGTCAGTCCACTGAGGACTGAGGAGTACTAATAAACTACGTAGTTTTTTTTTTTACAAAATTAAGCTAACTATGGAATTATTTGAAGCCATTTAATACTTAGTTTTAATAAGGTAAACTAATTATCATTAATGTTGGCATTGATCTATGTCCAGTTTTTGTGAAATCTGAGGCAGGTGTTGCTACAAGCTACTCCCCTCCGTCTCTATTTAACATTTTTGCTTTCCTTTTCGGTCTATAACTAAATAATGTCTCTGTCCTTATTTGGTTAAAATAAGACTTCATTTACTTTACTACCCTTTTTTTATATGCCAACATACCACTGTTAATCATTCTCAGCTACATATCAGCAATAGAAAACTTAGAAGTGAAAAAGCAAAAAAAAATGATTCATTAAAAAACATGCAACTTTTGTGCAAAGAGGGGAAAAGGCAGTATGCAACTTAGGTGTGTGACTGTATATCCGTGTCTGTGGCATTGCAGAGTATAGTGCCGACAACCCAAGAATAACAGCCAAATGCAAACACCATTTTCACCTTTCATGCATCCTAGAATGGAGGGAAAGAAGTGACACATGCCCAATATGCAATCAGGTTTTCTTTAGTTTTATTTTTCTTCATTCTCTCTCTCTCTCTCTCTCTTTCGTTAATACCTCCTACGACTTTGATCAGTTTCTCCACAGCTTTGAGATTGTATTTGCATTTTGTTGGTGATATGATAATAAGTGAAACTTTAGTTTGAAGATCAATTTGCTCTAGGCCAGTTTTGCCTTCCTGATTTTAATCCACATCGGTACTCAATCTTTGTCTCTTTTTGTGTGGCAGGAAATGATATGTGAAAATGAACCCCTGTGATGTATTTAGTTTTTTTTACCAAAACCAAATCAGTTTAGATCGATAAATTCATGGTTCGAAGCAAAGTAAATACAACCAGGAGGATCACCATGCCAAACATAGCAACCAGACATAGAACCAACAGCCTTAGCCAAGTCGTGGGCTACCCGCTTCATATGAGCAAACTCAATACCAAAAATGGTAGCTACTACTAGCTCTTTGATGATGTATTTAGGTTAGCTAGCTGTATGTAGAAAGTGTAGTCATCCTGTTTATGCAAAGGCCAAGATAGATTTTATTTCCAGTTTTGTGTGCTGTGTAGCACACCTGGAATTTTTTTCTTATGTTACCATTATCCTGTATAGGTATCTATTTCTGTTGTAAATTAGTTTACTTTTCTGTAAATATTGTATTGGGTTTTATTTTTATTGTTGTATTATATACTCTGTATTAATTAGTCATATAGAATTGCATAAGTTATGAGTTAACAGTTTTGACATGGTAGCTGTTGCATTTAATTTTTTTTTTAAATTTTGTTTAGTCTTAAATAAAAGCAAATAATACAAAGGACGAAAATACGTTAATACGTTAAAGCAAATGTAGTAAAAAAAACGTCTATGCATAGGACAAAAGTAGACCCCGGCATTATTTTTGTAGTTGAGAATAACAAAGTTTGAAGTTGGGTTGGAAGTTGGAACTTGGAAGTGGTGGGATTGTGGGAAACCGGGGGGGGGGGGGGGGGGGGGGGGGGGAATTATCCCTTTGTTTGTTGGATCTTACAAGTTTAAACTTGGATACGGAAAATTGGGGTTTACAAGTTTAAACTTGGATACGGAAAATTGGAGTTCGTCTATAGGTTGCACGGTGCAAACTGTACTGCACGGTTGTTGGCAGTTTGGTAATTTAAGTGAAATTCATGACTAATTTAAATGAACACTAGTGCATGTTTAATGATCATCACATCTATTGAGTATTAAAAGTCTAATAATGAGTATCGTGATATCGACTTCATATCTTATAATTCACTTTCTTTATCTTAATGTTTAAAATATCTACAATGAATAAATATGAATCCAATATGTGAATTTAGAGTGTGTTTGGAACTGATTCTGCTTCTACTTCTTTTTTAAAGTAGAAGCAGATTCGGAATGAGTTTTCAGAAGCCGGTCATCCCTAGCTTCTAAAAAAACTGGTTCCAGAGTAAATTAGAGCACCAGAATCACTTCTGCACTTTCACCCAAACAGTTCAACTTCTGTTTCTGCTTTGTGAAGGAGCAGAAGCAGTTTTAAGAATCAGATCCAAACACCCTATTAATGTAATATTATACTTTTGAAGTATACATGAACATGACATTTTAAAATGAGTATTGCGCCAATATGAAATGAACATACATAAATTATGAAATGAGTATTGAAAAAAATAAAAAAAGCTCATTTAAAATGTCTACTATGCTCATAATTTCATTTGTTATGCTCATATCTGACGAATTACGTATAACTTAAGTTTCTCTAACCTGTGGTCAACAAGAGACCAAATTCACTCACTGAACTTGGGTAAGAAAAAGAGGAAAAGGAAGAATCCAAAGCAAGAGAGATGGAGGACAAGCAACTAGGGCTATACACCAGAAGGAGTCGCCGCTCAAGCCGGAGTTTTAGGAGCTGCCGCTTGTGCTGGAGGATTGGGGTTGTCGAGAGCCGTTATCTGTATAGGCGGCGAGCGAAGGACGAGCAACGAGAACGATCTGTGAACTGCGATAGAAGCCCAACGACCTCCGATTTGTGAACTAAAAGGCCGGTTGTACCGTGTGCATGGTACAACCGGCTGTAAGCCTGTAAGATATAATTTACGGAACATGCAGGCAATTACAAAAATTTATTGATTTGTATTCATATTTATATTCTATATTTCCAATTTTAATCATAATTATTAAATCCAAATCACGGATCAAATTACAATTTTTTGCTTCGATTATAACTCTTTTTTCGTATGATACTTCTGATTTATATTACAAATGGACATGGGATTGTATACGTTAGTGTATATATGAGGGTATAGCTATCTTTTAAAAGTTAGTATAGTATTATTACTATTATTATTAATATTACTAATCGAATACATTTGATATTCTTATTTGTATTTGGTAACGTTTCGAATCAAATTTAGTATTCTTATTTGTATTAGTATTTGAATTTTTCAAATTCGATGTCTTATGCGATTTCGAATCACGAACTGAGCATATATAAATTATTTGATTCGTCTACAACCCTGAATTCTTATCCCTTTAGTCTTTATGATACTTTTTATTTCATTATATATTAATATTATTAATATTAATATATTTTATATGGGGTTACTCACTAAGTAGTATACCCACTATAGTTTTATACGAAGTATAGTTTCATTTTAATACTATCGTATAATGCATGTATAGTATGTATACACTATACAGTATATATTCGATGTATTCATACCTGGACGACACCAGAGGAAACTAATCTTCTTCCGGCGAGTTGATCTCCCCTGGCGACCCTTCTTCATTGCCAAGACGCCTAGTCAGAGAAATCCAATAAATTTTCATGGTGTGTACGTCTTGACGACATGTTCACGCCTACACGACACCAGAGGCGACTAATCTTCTTCCGGCGAGTCGATCTCCCCTGGCGACCCTTCTCCATCGCCAGAACCCGTATGTACGCCTTTACATGCAATTAAGTTTTGGAGAACTCTTATTATTATTAAAATTGCTCACTTGATGGATGCAAAATACTAGTACATATGGCCATATATATATAGGCATAAGTAATAAGGAATTGAGATAATTCTGTGTCTAGGACTAAACTAAGTTTTAATTGCACCAATAAGACTGGCATATTCCGTAGGACTAAGAAGAAATGCATTGCTAAAATTACCCTTAATGAACTAATCTTTATTAATAATACAAAATAACATAATAATAAAATAATGAGATGCCCAACACCACAATAATCCCTGCACCACATCCATAGCCGCCACAACCACAACCACTGGCACCGCCGCCGTCATCGCCGCCGCCGTCACCGCCGTCACCGCCGCCGTCACCGCCGCCGCCGCCGCCGTCACCGCCGTCACCGCCGCCGCCGCCGCCGTCACCGCCGCCGTCACCGCCACAGGTTCCACCGGCTACTCCATTTGTGATCTCATCTAGCCTTGTTGTCGGCCGCCGCCATATCCGGCGTCATCGCCGCCACCTCCGACGATGCTGCCGCCTCATCCAACACCATTGTGCCTCATGTGCGTGAACAGTGCGCCCTTTGGTGGCGGCGGCGCCTCCGGTGAGCCAATCACTTTAGATCTCAGATCTGGTATGACTACCACTCAAGTGCCATCTTGTGGTTCTAATGTCATCTTAATGATATTATTGTCATCCTGACAGAAATAAGATGACACTTTCAATTTAAAACACATGGCACTAATGTTTTACAAAATGAGCATTATTGCCATCTTCTTAATGTTAATGCCAAAAAATGGCATTCATTCTTGAAGTGACTTTTCATATTCAAAGTAATAACATACTACGTATATTGTAAAGACAACTCCATAAAAATAAATATTTCTGAAATTAATTTTCAATAGATTATATTTAATAGGGAAAATAATAACATTTATGTCAATTTCATACTAAAAAGTAATAAAAAACAATAAATATAAAAACAAATAAAAAAATCGAAAAAATAAATAAAAAGTTGACAAATAACAAAATCAGAGATGGAGGAGGAGGAGGAGGATGAGGAGGGGGAGATTCAACCATACCTGATTGCCGTCCATCGGTGGCCACTCACCATTCGCCGCCGCTCGCCGTCCTCGCTGCTCACTGATGACCGAAAATGAAGAGAAAAATCATGTTCATATCACTGAAAATCTGCGAAGATGAAGAAAATCGAGATTGATAGAATGAAATTAAAGGTATTATAGAAGAGATAAAAAATGGAGGCATGAGATCTGGAGTTGTGATGGCAGATGCAAGAGAAGGGATGAGGAAGAAGATAATGGATGGAGAAGGAGAGAGGTGAGAAGGAGAGAGGGAGATGTGTGTGGGATTGGGGGGGTAGGGGAGACGTGCGTACAAATGGGCAGAGAAGGGTAGAACTGGAAGATCATCTAATTTAGTCCTATTTGGAGAATAAATTAAAGAGAAGTCCTATTTTGGAACTTTTCCAATAATTAACTCTTATTTAGGGCAAATACTTTAAGCAATTTGGCAACTTATTGGGTTTCCTAATTGCTTATTACTTATGCTTGCTCTATGTACTACGGAGTAGTATTTTGCATCCTTTCTATGAGCAATATTTATAATAAGAAGAGTTCTCTCCTCCCAATACAAATCGTGTGCGTGCGTGAATTTTTTGTCCGGCATGCCAGCGACATCTCCAGTGATCGAATCGATTTAGGATGTTTTTACTTGGACTGTAATTTGCTGGTCTGGTCTGGTCTGATCTGGTCTGGTCTGGTCTGGTCTGGTCTGAACTGGTCTGGTCTAGTCTGGTCTGGTTTCTTTGTATTTTTATAACTATCCAAGTCTGGTCTGGTCTGGTCTGAACTGGTCTGGTCTGGGACGAATTACAGTCCAAGTAAAAACATCCTTATTCCCCACAAAATCCTAATCCCCGCCATCATGCCTCCCATAAACCATAGTCGCTCCCCCACTGCCGCATTCAATCTAATTAAAACAGTAGGACATACTTTAAGCTCGTATGATTTCAAGAAAAAATGTAGGACAAAGATGTTGGAAAAATTGTATTAAAGTAGATGACTCAAAATGTGATTTTATCTTCGAAGTATCTAAAGAGAGACTATTTTAAAATATCTGTGAAAAATAACTTTTAAATTGACTATCTATTGATTTATTTTTATCTATACATAATTATAGAATTACATTTGTAACAGATGCATTTAGTATGATATGATATCAGCTTGCAGTTGGTTCTAAATGTGTGGTTGGACCGAAATATATTTAATATAGGGTGCGCCATTAGTGCGTAAAGAACCGTTATATCGACGAATATATGATGAGTCACAGTCTCACAAAACTACTGACTATCACAAAAACGACTCGACAATTATGATATTTGATAAATAGTGTGTTAATTATATATGACCAATAATAGTAATAATAATAAAAATGATAATAATAATAACAATTTCTCTATCATTGATAAGGAGAAAAGAGAAAAATAGAGAGAGTGAGGGGCTTCTAGTAGATAAGGGGTAAAAAATGAACAAAAAAAAGATGAATCAAGATATTCCATGAAGCCTAAGAGATCAACAAAATCAGTAGAAAAGTTGAAATGCTGAATAACGTGCAAATGATCTAAAGTGAGACTATTTCAAATGGGGTTATGATGTGAATATTACTTTTTTGAAAGGGATGTGAATATTACTAAAAACTAAGTTTTATTAAAAAAGATATTTTTTGAGTTTAAAAAAATGTGACTAAATAAGTCCCTAATATGGAAACTCCTAAAACTATATTATATTGCTAAATGACCCTTTTTAAAACCAAGTGACATTATATGGCAATAATCTCATTTCAGCGCCCTAGTGATCTACTACTAGTAACTTCGGTGACCCACTGTCGCCACAGTGACCCACAACAACCTTGACCAACCGATTGTACTTTGATGATAGTAACTCGTCGCCCCAATGACTCCAGACAGTCCCAACGACCAATTGATAGTGACTCTAATGACATTGACTCCATACCGGCCGGTGTCCAATGACCATTCCACCTATCAAAGTTGACGCATGCACCACCTAGTTGTTACCTAGGACCCTAACCTCCACCAACTACCCCAAAATTCCAATCGCTGTCGTAGCCCCTCCCAAAACCTTACTTACCTTAGTCACCACCAATTCGCCCAAATTAATGTGAGTGTCCCACAAAAAAATTCTAGCCATTGTGGTCATCACCGCCCATTAACCATAGCCGCGCCGCTTCCATTGCATTTGATCTAATTAAAATTGTAGCCATCATTGCATTCAAGTTTTATCCACGCCGATTCAAATCATTGTTGTGAACCAATTGCTAGAAAATGGCATCAATACCTCCTCAAATAGCCACGTAGAAGACGAGGATAGAACCCGTCGAATAGAAGAAGAGAGGAGTTCGATGGCAGTGGTTGCGGCAATGGTGTGATGCGGTTGTGGAGAAGATGATGCGAGAAAGGTGATTTTGGGGAAGACGATCAAGGCTGAGTGGGACACCAACAAAGGTTTTTTTATGCAAGGTTGTTTTAGTCCATTCATTGTGTTTAGTCTTTTATTTTGTCCAAATAAAAAGTCTTATTTTTGTTCAGATGAATCAAGGTATTCCTTGGGACCTTAGAGACTAATGAAAGTAGATCTGTAAAAAATGTTAGATTATTGGCAAATTAGTAGTGCAAAATCAACCGTTATGATTATCGACGAATATCTGATGAGTCACATAATTGTAGACTATCACCAAAAGGGACTCGACAGCTACGATATCAAATAAATGGTGTATTAATTTTAACTTATAACAATGATGATGAAAATAATAATAATAATAATAATAATAATAATAGCGTTTGTGAAGAAAATTTTAAGAAAATGGACGAATGAAGGTATTCCTTAGACGGTTAGACCTTAGAGACCAACGAAAGTAGCAGAGTTGAAAAAAAAGTAGCAGAGTTGAATATGTTAGATATTCTGCAAATTATCTACTCCCTCCGATTCCTAAACAAGTTCCACATTTGACTTCACACATATTAAGAAAATAAATTTGACTTTACTGTGGAGTGAACTGTTTGGCACTGTTTGAACACTGTTTGACACTGTTTGGCACTGTTTGACACTGTTTTGATGTAGATAATAAGGAAATGTTTGAAAGTGGAACTTAATTTTGAATCTGCCCGAAAAGGAAAGGTGGAACTTGTTTCAGAAACGGAGGGAGTATTTTTTTGCAAATTATCTATAGTGAGACTATTTTGGGGATTTGAGGTGAATATTACTAAAAATAAGTTTTGGAAAAATATGTAACCTGGATTACAAAACATGTGACTAAATGTCTACATAACTCCCTAATTGGGATACTTCAAAAAGCATGCTAAATTACCACTTATAAAATCAAGTGACATTATCTAGTAGTGACATGACATCGACGCCCCAATAACCTATTGCTATTGACTCCGCTGATCCGCCGCCACCCTAGTGACCTGCCATAGTACTTACCCACTTAGAGTGACTCTTGCAATAGTGATTTGCCTCCGCACTGAATCGAGGCATACCCATATCTCTGGCGATAGTGAATCGTTGCCGCACTAACTTTAGGCAGCCCCTAGTGATCAATTAATAGTGACCCTATATTGGCGTCCAGTGACCACTTCACCTATCCCAGTGACACGGGCACCACCTAACTGCTGTCTAGGATCCTAGCCTCAACCAACTAGCCAAAAATTCTAATCATTGCCATAGCCTTGCCAGAACCTTAGATGGTGACAATTCGCCCAAAATCCTAATTGTTGTCGTCGCCCCACTAAAAATTCCATCCATCGCTATCACCGCCGCATCATTCGATCTAATTAAAACTTTAGCCATCGCTATTGTCGGTCTCTATCCACTCCTATTCGATCATATGACCCGACTCTAACCATTGTCATAATCCAATCTCCACAAAATGGCATCAATGCCTCCTCAAATAGCTACGTAGAAGAAGATAAGAGAATCTGTCAATTAGAAGAAGAGTTTGACGACAATGGTGTGATGCGATGGTGGAGAAGATGCGAGAAAGGGGATTTTGGGAAAGATGATTTTTTTTATTTTTACTAATGATGTTTTAGTCCATTCATTCATATTTAGCCCTTTTATCGAGATAAAAAGTCTTATTTTTGTTCAGATGAGTCAAGGTATTCATTGGAACCAACAAAACTAGACGAGTCAAATATATGAGATAGGGTCGCGCTATTAGTGCGTAAACAACCGGTACAAATCATCGACGAGTATCTGCTGAGTCACAAACCCGTAGACTATCATCAAAAATGACTCGACAGTTACGATATTTAATAAATAGTGTATTAATTGTGACAAATAATAAAAATAAAATTGTAACAAATTAACAATGGAAATAATAGTAATACTCCCTCCGTTCCTATTATAATTTCCAAATAGGTTTGGCACACAGTTTAAGTTAGTGGATATTGTGTGGTGAAATATTTAAGAAATATTGTGAACCACAAATTCTTTACCAAAAAGGGAAAGTGAAAGTTTTAATTGGAACAAACGAAAAAGGAAAGTTGAAAGTTATAATAGGAACGGAGAGAGTAGTAATTTTTATTAAAAAAGAGTATCCTTCACACTTATCATCTTCCTCCCATACCACCTCACACACAACCCCACATTAATAATATAGTAAAAAATACTCCCTCTGTCTCTTATAACTTTGTCAACTTTCCTTTTTGGTTGTCCCAAAAACTTTGTCACTTTCTCTTTTAATCAATCAATTTGTGGTTTCTGTTATTTCTCTCTCCTCTGCACAAATCTCTACCACACAGTTTTTACTTTATTATTCTATGTACCGATCAAACTTGGCAATCATTTTAGCGACAGAGGAAGTAACTTTTAGTGATTAATCAATAATACCAACTATAAATAACCCTATATGGTTATCCATTATTGTATAGAATCCCATTAAACAACTCAACCCTCCCCCTCCCCCTCCCCTCCCCCAACAAATCTTAGATCCCTCAACCTTGATAGCCCTTTCAAGTCTCACCCCCACCCTACACCTTTCTCAATCTCTCTCCACATAAAAATAGGGCCAAGGAGAAATAGTGGAAGAAACAAGGAGCCAAAGAGAAAAAGAAAGGTCCAACCTTGACAACCCGCCCTTCATATTAGGTATTTTACTGGTATCTCTATCTCCCGAAAATTCCATGAAAAATCTATTTTTTCAACAGATGTGCTTTGTGTCTCTTCAAAAATTTGAAAAAAATTATCGCTATCTATAGTCTACACCCTTTTCTTTCCATGTATGTATAATAGATAGGATTGGATGCATAGAAAGCGCGGGCCTTGAAATTCTGTGTCCAGCGGCATGATTATTCACTTCCCGGCCAAAAACTTGCATATCGCTCACACCCATCAGCTTCCTCGAACGAAACCCATCTGATCGGAAAAACCCACAAATCCATTCACTTTTGCGCAACCAATACTCCTGAATTTTTCTAATGGTACTCGATCTTCTTTTGTTTATGATAGTCTTCTTGCTCTTCAGCTAATTTAGTGATGATACCCGTTTTTAGGGTTTTGATTTATAAATGGCAGGATGGTCCAAAAGAGTGAATGGGTCGGGTCTAGAATGCTTGAGATCTCTTGAAAACCCCCAGGAGAAGCTTCTTGATTATATAGTTGGGGTTAAAGGCTATAGGAAGGAGGTTGAGGGAGAAAGAACCAATACTGAGACTGGGGTTTTGTTTACTAAATTGGTTGTTCATTTGCTTGAAGAATCACACAGCCCTAGGTGTTCTATCCAGATGCCGCCCAGGCTTGAGAATGATAAACCGGTTAATTTGTTTATGCTCTATCTTGTTGTGAGGGAGAGAGGTGGGTATGAGGCAGTTTCGAGGAATGGTTTGTGGGATGAAGTTGCTAGGGAATGTGGGTTCGATTTGCCGTCTGGGGTTCCTTTGAAATTGGTTTATGCCCAGTATTTGAATGCACTTGACAGGTGGCTGCAGAAGCAATTAAAGGAGCCCAAGAGTCCAGAAAGAAACAGTGGCATGGATGTTGGTGGGATATCAATGGACATGGACCCCAGCTTCATGAACGTTATTAGGACGATTTTGGAAGTGAAGGCAGGCAAGAAGAATGTCAACTCTGCTGACTTAGAGAATTCTAATATTGTTGAACCATCAGTAATTGTCAAAACAAATGTCAGTGTAAAAAAGGATGATAATTGGCCTGCTACCACTTTGCTTAAGGAAGAAAATGCCATAAGCAGAAAGAGGAAACATGAATCTTACCTTGATATGGTAAATTGGGTACTTACAGCTGCAAAGGACCCTTGTAACACATCAATTAGGAAAATACCGGATGTTTCCAACTGGAATTCTTATGGGACTGATACAATTTGGAAGCAAGCTCTGTTGCTGAAAGGATTAATGCTCTTGAAACAGAACACTGATTCAAGTTGCCAGAATTCTGTTTTGCAGGCAAGCTTGTAGTTTATGTCTTGCTCTTTTGCACTCTCAGTATGATATCAGTAGTCACTGTTAATCAAGAAATACTTTACACCGATTCACTCTCATTCTGAGAAATATATTTGGCAATCTTGGGTATTCTTAAATGAACTTAATCTGTATGCACATAGCATCGAGTGTTTGTAACTTTGTATATCTGCATGCATACATGCCTCATGATCAGGGATGGAGTCAGGGCACTGGGTCGAACTGGGCCGGTACAAAAAATATTTTTGGAAAACAAATTACACGGGATTTTTTACACAAAAAATATAGACATTTTTTAAATTTGGGCTGGGCCGGGGCCAGGGTTGGCCCCTCCCTAGCTACGCCCCTGCTCATGATTATTGACCATCTTACCGATGAAAACGATGTGTCCAGTATTTTCGCCTGTGTTTTGGAATCATATGTGTCTTATTTAAGGTCTTGTAGCCAAAATATCAAACATGGCCTGCACATATTCTTTTATCATCTTATTATGTTCTACTAGTATAATCTTTATAACTACTGGATATTTTTATTATGAGTGTGATATTGTGTATTCCACGTTTTTGTAGTCCATATGCTTATAATGCTTATCAGGAGATGTAGGACCATCTATTAAATGCATCATAATGCTATAGTTTGGTCCTGGCATCCTGGGTGTGCATGCAAGCTTTGTAAATATTTAGGGGCTGTTAGCTCGTAGTTAGAGTTAAGGACTACTCTTTTAGTACTACAACAACAACAACATCCAAGCCTTAGTCCCAAAAGATATTGGGGTCGGCTAACATGAATCGATACATGATATAAAGACATCTTTCTGTGTCAAGACATGTGTAAATGCTAATGTTATATTATTTGGTCACATGGTCTAAATTTTAAGGCCCATCCATCCAATCATAGGGTAATAGGCTATGCTCTTGACGGAAAGAAGGTTTTACAAGTCACTGATAATCTGATATTATGTTCAACAGGATTGAGTTCAACCTAATTTTACTTGAGTAGTTCTATTTGCACCATTGTTCAATATTTCTTCTATATTTTCGAATACATTATTTCTTGATTTTTTCATGCATATACCCACCGATTATTTAGTAATATATTGGTTTGATTTCAGGATATATATAAGTCCAACTCTTTTTTTTCTTTTAAGACAGTGCAAATAACACCATACTCCCTCCGTCCGTTATAACTTTGCCATCTTTCCTTTTTTGGTTGTCCCAAAAACTTTGGCACTTTCCCTTTTAATCAATTAATTTGTGGTTTCAGTTATTTCTCTCTCCTCTGTCCAAACCTCAACCACACAGTTTTCTTTATAGAAATTGTTCTAAATAGGAGCAAAAACATTTTGAAATTCCAAAATAGGAGTATTATGTTTTTTATTCTCCGAATAGGAGTAATCTGCCAAGTTTGAAAAAAATGCCATGTTTTAAAGCCTAGTAATGCCAAACTTCGCAGAAATTTACTCCTATTCAAGGAATAAAAAACATGATACTCCTATTTTGGAATTTCAAAACTTTTTTAATCCTATTTAGGGAATTCTCCCTTTTCTTTATTATTCTCTGTCCGTTCAAACTTGGCAAAGTTTTAAGGGACATAGGGAGTACTTTTTAATATTTTCCACTATTTGACCATTTATGCTGCTTGAAGATGGCATGGAGCTTCTATTTGCTTAGTTGGAAAATACGCGTTTAGTTTCAATTACATACATCATATTTACTCTTCGATTTATGGTAATATTGTTTTTATGAATATTCCATAATGTTTCACACCAATCTCTTGATTTGATCATATTGTTGTTATGAAATTTCTCTTTATCTGTAGAAATCACAGAAGATGCACCCCGCAATGTATGAGGACAAGAGTGCTCTTTCTGATAGAGTAAGATGCAGCCAAAGGCTTGTTGCTCAAGAAGATTCTTTCAAAAAGAAACGCACACAGATTTCTTCCATATCATCAACTAAAAGTGTTCCCAATACTGATGATCCAAGTGACACACAGAACACACCTACACAAGATTTAGATGCTGGTCGTTGGTGGAACCAGCATCGTAGAAAGCGGACACCTGTCGGACGTAATTTCCAAGCAGAAGTACCAGAGTGGACGGGTGAGATCATAGAAAGTGATTCTAAATGGTTGGGACATCAAATCTGGCCTTTACCAAAAGGTGAGAAGCGTGGGATGTTAATTGAAAGAATCCCTATTGGAAAGGGAAGGCAAGAAAATTGTGGCTGCCAAAACCGAGGCTCCTACGAGTGTGTTAAGTTCCATATTTCTGAGAAAAGGACAAATTTGAAATTTGAGTTGGGCTCTGCCTTTTATCTATGGAAACTTAATTGTACCGGTGAGGATGTTGCAACTTATTGGACCAAAGAAGAAGAAAAGAAATTTAAGGAAATAGTAATAGCAGGCTCTCCTATATCAGAAAGCAAGTCTTTCTGGGATGAAATATTTAAGGAGTTCCCTAAAAAGAGTAGAGATGCGTTGATAAGCTACCACTTTAATGTTTTCCTTCTCAGACGCCGAGCTCACCAGAATAGGTTCACACCTACCGAAATTGACAGTGATGATGATGAAGAACATTGTGGTCCAAGGGCAAATTCTTTTGGCCGAGAACCTACTAAGCCTTCCAACCCCATCTTCTCCTCATCTAAAAAGTGAGCTTAAGATCCCCACACAGTACATATGGTCTTCCGTCTTCCAATGACTTGTTCGTAGGTGTAAATTGCAGAAAATCTTAAAGTGCTTCTACTGTTGAGCAATTCTTTCTTTGGTGGGAATAGGCTTGAGGATGCGGATGCAAACATGATAGCTATCTTTATTCACATATACCAAAATTCTTGATAGCAGGAGGAAATTTTTGCATTATGCTCGTGTGTCCCAATGGTTTACACCAGTGACTGCTCTTTAAAGAGTTTCTACTGTATTGTTTTTTCCCTCTTGAAACGTATTTTTTAAAAATTATTTATTAATGGGATTTCTTTCTTTAAATATTTAGTTTCATCTCCACCTTCATCTCTACTATTTCTAACGAGGGTGTTTCTCTTAGGAGTCTTAGGAGGTGTTTGAATCTACTTCTTGAAATTGCTTTTGCTTCATCAGAGAGTAGAAGCCGGTATTATAGTGTTTAAGCGAAATTGCAGAAGTACTTCTGAGTGCTCTAAATTACTCCTACAAGCAGAATAAAAATCGATTTTTATTCTGCTTATATTTTTGCTTTTAAAAAGAAGTAAAAGCAGAATCAATTCCAAACACTCCTTACTTGTTGTGCCTTTGAGAGGAAGGCCTGGTTGTTGGCTTTGTTGTTGTTTAAGATACAAGTTGACATTTTAGGTAAAACTTTATAATTGTATTTCGAAATTGTGACCATTTAGCTCTTACTTGGTTGGAGAAGTTCAAAGAGAAGGGGATGAAAATGTTTTTGGTTGAAGGGCCTGGTTTTGTTCCTGCTCGAGAGCTGGTTCTGGTTCTTTAGCTTATTTAGACAATTTTGTCCAGTCTTGTTTTGAGGTAACAAGAACCTTGTGCTACGTTTGGATGAGGTGTTGAGAAGTGTTATTCCTAAAAGTATCAGGAAGTGTAGGCACGATTAAATCGAATGATGTTGTCTTTTCTTGTCATAGAATGTGCACACAAATGTTGTTTAAGTACTAAGTTCGATGTGCAGGAGCGTTAAGTACACTAAACATCACTCCCATGTTTACTTCCCCTCGTAGAGACCCATACTAATCATTTTTGGAAGAGGGTATTAGGTTGGAGGCATATCTCAGTTGCTGGGAAGAGGATGCTGCAATAGGTAGGTATTTGCCAAATCATTTTTCGAATCCATACAATGTGATGAGAGCTTACTATATAAAATGCATAGGGCATCTATAAGTACTTGAGCCGGAGTTTCACCCGCTCTTTATCGTTCTGTGATTAAAGTCCAATTTACATCATCTATCTAACTATGCGGTAGGTTCTGGATCTCCCATGGATGGAATGCCATTTTTTTGGAAGATGTTACTTGTTAGAAGGAAAAAGGGGCTAATAAGCCCACATACTAACAAAAAAGGTCAAATAAGCCCTTATATAGGAGACTCTATCCGGCCATCGTCATTTGGGGTAGTTCTCGGTGGAATTTCTTGATGATTTTTTTTGAAAATCTTATTCATTAAGTCTAGTTTACTCATACCAAATTTCAGCTAAAACTTCAATCTGGAAGGCATTCAAATGAATTCTTGAAGATAACTGCGCAGTTAAAAGCGCAGTTAACTTCAAGAATTTATTTGAATGCCTTATCCATTCAATTGTTAGCTGAAATTTGGTATGAGTAAACTAGACTTAATGAATAAGATTCTCAAAAAAATTTATCAACAAATTCCATCGGGAACTGCCTCAAATGGCGACGGGTGGACAAAGTCTCCTATATAAGGGCTTATTTTAACTTTTTTGGTTAGTACGTGGGCCTATTTGCCCCCTTTTCCCTTGCTAGAATAAATCTACTACCACTCCAACCACCTTACATGCTTATACAAATATCCATATTTTTAATCACATATTTTTGAACTATTATGCCTGTCCATAAATATCCACAATCGGCCATGTGAGAAGCTTCGGGGAGAAGAAGATCGATGCAGACTTGAACGACCTCTCCCCCAATCATCGTCGAAGCGGCGACGCACTCCGGCTAGAAATTTGTTTTCAATACCAAGCTTTTTTGTTGTAAAATGTTTGACAAGTTTTTTAATTTTTTATCTACTGAGTTGTGTCGATTGCATAAAATTGGCTTTATATTACTGGATTTGTTTTAAAATATGTATATATAAGTAACAAATATTCTTTTAGAAGTATCTCTTATCTCAGTAACTATTCGAGTTTGACTTCACTCCTATCATTGTATTTCGAGTGCGATGAATTTCTGGTGGCATTTAGGGTGTTCGTTAATATGGCTACACAAGAGACACCATGAAATTATATTCACATCGGATGATTTACAAAAATGTTTGATTTAGAATTTGACCTTTTTATCCTGAATTTGAACTGCTTTTTTAATCAGGTGACATGGATCAAATTCTCACAGTAAACACAATTGTTCATGGACTATTTTTTATTTGTTAGGAGAAAATAGTTTGTGTGTAAAAAGCTTTGGTTATTTCATATTTCGAGAATAAGAGTACATGGAATATATTCCATGACATAAAAAGTAGCCTACGAGAGTTTTAAGTCATACCCTTTAGAAGAAGAGCCAAGATTCAAATTGATGCTTGTAGAAGTAGATGTTCTATGTATATTTACTTTTTGCTTACCTTGACTTTAATGTGACTAGTGTATTGTAATATGGAGTATATATTTATGGGCAAGAATTGGTTGACATTGCCCAATGTATGGTCATCTTTTGGTTTTTGATATATTAAAATGACCATTTGTGTATGTTAGTTCAGTTTATGTTTTTGCAATTTTCATGTATTTTCTGCAAATATCATGTAACAATACCGTTGTTTAAAGTTGTTAGCTAAATTTTATGCTTTTGGATACTTGAGGTAATTTTTCTCAAATTTAGGTAGTCTCTCTGCTAAATTTTCCTAAGATTCTTGAGGGTTTCCTGCTATTTTAAAGTTATTCTTGTTGTTTTTTTGTTATTCCAAGCATTTGTGAAGCAGCTTTGCATATGCTTAGGTTTTAGAGCACATTTTGTTGTTGGTTTTGCATACTTTTGTTGCTGGTTTTTGCAGTTTCTGTTGTTGTTTTTAGTATTTTTCTAACACATGTATAGATGTCTGTCTTTGTTTCCCTGCATTTGTACACATTTTTTTTGCTATTTATGAAGGGTTTTTTTGCTATCTTTTGCGGTATTTATTGTTGATTCTATGGTTGTTACATCTACCTGCAATTCTGCAGATTTTCATGCATCTTTTGTCTGCAGTTTTGCTATTTTTAGTTACCACTTTAAGTTCTTTACCATTCATATCAGCACATTAATTTCATCACGCTACTAAGAAACATGAGAGAACACAATTTGACAGTTAAGTAATGCCACACCATTTCAGTTTCAAAAAATGTATTCAAGTGTGTGTAAGATAAATTTGAAAAAAAATCTCATTTCATCATCATTAGATTTCAAAATATGAGATTAAACTAGAATTTGATTCATTTTATCACAATACAAATCCAAAACTCAACCAATGAAGTTTGTTGCCTTTTTCCTTTTCTTATCTTAATTTGTTAATAAAGTTGTGTGAACTGTGATTTTGAAACCAAGGAACAATATAACGTGAACCATATTAAATAATAAAGTGATCCCATTTTTTATAACCATGTTTGCATTCATTTGGTGATTTAGCTTGAAGCTAAAAGTACTAAGAAAGACAAATTATCATTTCAAAGCAAATGAAAGTGGGAAAAGGAATGAAGGAATCACAAAAGCTCCAGCATTCAACAAAGATTTATTACAATTTGATAGTAATTGCGAGATAGGATATAGTATTACAATAATTCAAAGAACACAACATCAAAAGAACTACATCAAAATTGTCTCCAATTAAGCACCAATTCAAGCTTCATTGAATCGTTGGAAGTCGTTCACATCTACAAATCTGGACATAACAAAAGAACGCACCTTTGTTAACACACACTAATAGAGCCAGAATAATAACTTATAAAGCAAGAATCATAACTTGTAGTCTACAAACATTAAATCATGTATTCTCACCTCAAGATCCATAATGTCTTAATTGCTCTAGCTTCATTTTCAATTTTCTTTTAAATCTTCTACAATGAGTATAAAAACAAATTAAACACAGTTTTATCACTAATAGTAATCGAATCCTAACTTCTATAACAAGATTCAAAACTTATAATTTACATTGGCTAAAAGCATCAAAAGAGTAAAACAAATTACTGAAAGACAAAAATAAAGACTCCCAACAACAATCAATTCTATTAAGACTAAACAAATTTATTCTATATGTATAAAATAAGTCAAATGATTTTTCTAAAATGCTAATGAGATGCTACTTTTTATATAACTTTTATTTGATAAAGTTGAACTTCTAAATATAAATGAAGAACTATAATTTAGTGCGGTAAGAACATTTATTTAAAGACAAAAATAGAGATTTCCAACGACTAAAGAGTCAGAATATATATTTTGTTAAGACACACTAAAAGAGTCAGAATAATAACTAATATAAATAAAGTTAAGTCATCACTTGTAGTCTAACAACATTAACCAGACTCAAAACTTCATATCTAAGGAGGGAAACGTTAACTGCAATACCATTAACATCATAAGCATGTTGATCATCTAATGTTTCTTTGACCACATCATCAGAAAAAGTAAACTTTTTTGGTTTTACAAGCACACTAATAGAGCCTGAACCATAACTTCTAACAAGAAATTCACAATCTTAGTGCAATAACTTCAAAATCAATCTACCATGTGTTATGATAATGGTAATTAAATGATATAATTTCACTTTGTTAAACAAACATGTTTCTTAACAGTCAGTAAGTAACCATGTCGCTTCTTTTTTCCACACATCTAAACAATAAAGCTTAACTTCTAAATCTAAATCTATGACTATTATTCTGAAATTCATTACAACTAAGAAATGATCAAGTGAATGTTATCATGTTAAAATTCATATGATCAAGACTCGAGTTGTATAAATACATATTAAACTTTTAGTTTAGGTATAAGTCTAACAAATTATTAAACATTAATTACATACACAAACGCATGATTATATCAGACTTCTAGTTATTAAACGTTAGTTGCATACAAAACTGGAGGATAGCACATAAAGATACACCAAGGATTGCTTTGGAAGATCTTATCAAGTATTTTGACCTTCCAATTATTGAAGCTTCAAAAAGTCTGAAAATTGGGCTTACACTACTCAAAAAGTGAATAGAAATCAGTATCCTGGCTGCTGGCCTCATAGAAAGATCAAATCCTTGGTTAGATTCATTAAGGTTTTAAAGTAAATTAAGATGGTTCATCTTACTTAATTAACCTTCATCTTTTACATAATTAACCTTCATATTTATTAAGTAAATTAAGCTGGTTCATCAAACCTTACTTAATTAACCTTCATCTTTTACTTCCCGTTGTATAAAGTCACTGGTTCATCTTTTTCTTAAAGCCTCTTTTAATTTTGACCTATAATAGTCATGAAAACTAACCCTAATATTGAATAAATTTAAAAACATTAATAGGCCTAAAACCAACAAATTGAAGATCAATCGACCTACACTTAGAAGAATATTGTAGGCACTAAGCAGATTTTGTCTTTGAAATTATGTACTAGCAAGAACTCGTAAAGCATAAATCGGATACTCACCTTTGAATTTCATAAAATCATCGTCGAACTCTCCATCGATCCAAGAGAGAGCAGAAACAGAACCGAATTCAGCGATCCTCTTCAGATATACACAAATAGACGATGGTGAGATGTGCGCTCCTCCAACTTGGATCAATGAAGAAAAACAAAGAAGTTTCTAGCAATTGGCCTATGATCTTCATCTTTCAAAGTTGATCGAAGAGAACATTGTTATAAGTGCAGCGAGACCTAGAAAATTCGATGAAAAGAATCAGATGTATAAGGAGAGAGAAACTCTTTTCAGCTCATCCGATTGTAGAGAAACAAAAATTAGGAGCTGTGGAGAGCCGTAAGATTTAATTTAATCTATTGGCCGTAATTAATTCTCATTTTTCAGCTTAAAGAAGCTTCTCATCTGATCCATTCCCCACACACACACACACACACACACACACACACAATAGTAGAGGAATGATCCTGTCCAGCCGGAGGGACAGGACACTACGTTCGGCCTCCGCCGTTTGGGGCGGTTCTTGGAGGATTTTTTTGATAAATTTTTTTGAGCATGTTCTACATCTAGTCTAGTTTATCCACAAAAAACTTCAACTAAAAATTTGATCGGGAAGACAGACGAATAAATGTTTGAAGATAACTGCGCAAAATGAACACCGGGAACCGCCCCAAGGCGGTTGGATTGCGCCTCTTGTCCATACGGATAGACATGATCTTTTTCCTACGATAGTATGTGACACTCCATCCAAAATAAAATTTGTAATTTCATTGTCCACGATATTATATGGAGAAAGTTTTTATATGTAATAATCTGTTAAGTCAAGTAACGATTTATAAAATGATTTTTTAAGGAAAAGTATCTGATAATAATCTCTTATCAATAACATCATTAGCTAGTTGATTTACAAAGAAATTTGGGGGATGAACTAACTCTAACTTGCAATCAAACTTAGAAGCTGCTCTGTTCGTCTTATTCTTATTACTTATTGTTTATTCTTATTTTATTCCGATCAAACCAGATCAGATCAGAAAAATTCATATCAGAAACATTAATATCAGAAAGATTCAGATGAGATCAGATATTCAGATTAGATGTTAAAATATTCAGATTTCTTAAACGTTGCAACGGATTTCTGGAAACTTGAACCAAGTTTCTGCCACACAACCCGAGAGCTACTACCCTGTTGAAACAGGTGTTTTTCATATTCATCCTCTATACCCCAACTGCTACACCTAGCATCTGTTACAACTCGATCGTTTATGCCTCAACCTATGTTAAATGTCCCACACCGGAAAATTGAGAAGCATTAGAGTGCTATATTAAGCTTCGGGCTACTCCTCCTAACAGGTTGACCTTTTAGGATGGAACCCCGAGTCTTAACATGGTATCAGAGCCAAATCGATCCGTGATGTGGGACCCCTTATGAAAAATGACGACACGATAAAAAAAATTGACGAACCGATGAAAAAATGAATGACAACACGATCCAGACGAAGTGTCTGGTCGTGAGGAGGGGTGTTAAATGTCCCACACCGGAAAATTGAGAAGCATTAGAGTGCTATATTAAGCTTCGGGCTACTCCTCCTAACAGGTTGACCTTTTAGGATGGAACCCCGAGTCTCAACAACCTGACGTTGGCAGACTTCCAACCATTATGGAGTGAATTGCCAAAAGAAAAACTTGGTCTTGGGTGGAATATGAGAGTTCATCCCATCCATTCATTCACTTCACTCTCACCAGTAAGCGATCCCCCTAGTATCCTCTGCCCACCAAACATTGTCCTTAACTTGTCTATAACTAATAGAGATCTATACTCAAAATATGCTTGCTTTCTTCTGCTAAAAACAGCCCTACCTCATTCCACTTTTTACCATCCTCTAAAAGGGTGAAGCAACATTCATAAGAGAAGGAGAAACACAACTCTCTATATTTCACTCCATCTATTTTTGTCGTGTTCATCTATCGAGCAGTGGCGGACCTATATATGTTCAAAAGTATTCTTGTGAACACCCAAAGAATTTTTTGTGTGTATAAAAATACCTATATAAATTTTCTAGATTTTTTTTTGTAAATAAATTTGAACACCTAAAATTTGAAAAATAAATTTGAACACCTAAAACTAACATGGTAGATCCGCCACTGCCACTGTTCTCGAGTCTCTGATCTCGAAGGTAAATGAACATGGCAGTTAATCTGTTCTGCAAGATTGTGAGGACCCATTCAATGATGTGCTAAGTTGACTCTTCTATTTTCTCCATCATCGCGCCGACATCTTACTTCACTCTCCATTGCCCACACCTCTATGATTCTATGAAGAAGAAAAGGAAGTGTCGCCTAGGGAAGGGATGAAAACAGGAAGGATATGCCTTTATTTGGAAAAGAGGGTTAAATTGATTTAATTAATATAAAAAATAAATAAAAAGAATTAAAAAAACTGAATTGCCATATAGACATACAACTGAGTTGTTAATCGAGAAATCGGAAGGTGACCTTCTAAATAGTCATAGAAATAATTACATGTATATACCTAAAACAAATATTATTTACAAAACATGACTAATGAATAGAGTAGTAATGAAATCATAGTAAATTATGTTTAATTTTTAAACTTAAGTTACCATGTCATTGTAACTATTATCACATAAATTATGATCAATTTTTAAATTAATAGTTACGTTGTAGTTACATACACAATTTTTATATTTGTGTATATAAATTTAATTTTAGTAATATTTAAAAAAAACTTTTTTATAAGCACATGAGGCTGATCGAGTGATTTTGAAGTATGAGAACATGATCATCTCTCGTACTCTTTCCATCCTGTTGGAATGTTATCATGGGTAATGACATGATGGGGGTGTTTGGTTGCTAGCTTATCAGCTATTTTTTTGGCTGTTTTGACTATTAAATGGCCTTTTGACCATTTCAAATTGCTATTTAGATGTTTGGTGAATCAGCCTCTTCTATTAGCTTTTCATCTCAATCAGCCAAAAACCAAAACTCCAATTTTCCTAGCGTTTTCATTTGGCCGTTTGAGTTTATTTATTAAAATACGGATTTGGCCTTGCTTTTAAACCATACTCCGTACGTAACTCTTGCACAAAAATCAAAGATCCTTTTTAAATCAAAGAAAAACACAGTCTTGTGGGTTGTTTAATAATATCAATTCAACAATTTTGTTAGAAATTCTTTTAATTTATAAAATACATTACTAAATGTACTTCGTATAAGTGATGGCATTAATTTAGCAAGATATGAATAAACACATTACAATTAAATTTATTTGTCTTTAGTATTTTTAAAACTTGGGACCCCATAAATCTGGGGGACCTGCTCCAGATAACCTATTGAACCCCTAAAAACGACTTGGGTAACATTAATATTTAAATACATTTTTCATTTTTTACACAACTTTTCTTGGTATAGTCCTATTAAGTCTTTAAAACAATGTTTAAAATACTTATTACTTGTGTTAATACATTTTATATATTTTTTGAAATCATAAATAGGGTTTAAGTGGTTGTACTAATTAAATTTAAAAAAATATAATTGATGTCCTTAAAAGTCATTTAACAAGTTATCAGCTAATTATCAGCAGTCATTTAACCAAACACCATCTTACAAATTGCTAATCCTACCAGCCATCAATCAGCTAACACAATCAGTCAACAGCTAATAGCCAACAACCATTTGCCAAACACCCCCGATGTTTTAGACAAATGATTAAATAAAGTGAATTGAGAAAAAGAGAGGAACAAGAAAATTTAGAAAAAGTAACCACATAATATAAAAGTAATTAAAGGGAATAACTTGAAGGAGAAATTATGAGACATGACATGTAATGAATAGAAAATAGAAAATAGGGCCTCTGCACGTACCGGAGACAGTGTATCACTCTCTATCCTGTCAGATTGGGATTATAATCCAATTTACATCCTTTCAAAATACCATCCGATCAGGGTTGAAGGCCCTCAGGTATAGGTGTCGTCCTTTTTTAGAAAATTGACTAAATGTGCAATTCGAGTAAATTATTTGATAAAAAATGAAAAATTTTAAGAGTTTTGTTAGGAGTAATCCAAAATGTACCCCATTTTTACCTTAACCCCTAATTTATGGCCATAAATGTACCAATTCATTTAAGTGTTGCCCCACTTAAATGAATTACCTCATTTATAGTTATACATTAGGAGGTGGGGGTAAAAATGGAGTACATTTTGAGGTACCTTTAGCATTAATGAAATTTTAAATGGAAGACCCGAAAGCGAACCTTTAGAAGGAACCTTATTAGGTCCGTACGACCACGACGGCACGGCACCCGATACTTCTCTCTCTTCAACGCTCAAGCAAGCAACCGCAAATAAGTGGGACCCACAGTGGCCCACAGAAGCAAATGGCACCGTTCTTTCCTACCTCAGCCGGTGAAACAGTTTCTCACTTTTCCCCTCAACAAGACACGCATTCTCAACGCCAAGACGCCATAACCGGCATCTCCGGTTTTGCCTTATCTCTTCGCCCACAATATTATCTCTATCTCCCCCTCTCAGCGATTTCCCGACACACTTTCCGATCCTCTGCTCTCCAGTTCTGTTAAGTACGCCTCTGCAATTCTTGATTTTAATTCTCTGGACACTCTTTTCTGTTTTAGTATTGATGTTTGATCGAATAAATTGATGGTGGTTTGAAGTTTATGATTATCATGATTTTGCTTTCAGTTAGTTGGTTTGTTACTTGAAGTTTATGACGGATTTATGTTTCAAATTGTTAGACATTGGGAGTATAAAACTGTTAGAAAATGGAAATGATTATTAGTGTTTTCAGATTTGGTGAGTAATTTTAGAGTAGGTCTTGTGTGGTTGTAGGTAGCATATAGACTAGAGAGTAATTTTAGAGTGAAACACTTTTCTTTAGAAGCTTTAGATTATACGGAGTACTAGCTAGAGTGTTTTGTGGCTTGTTCAATAAATGGTTTTAAATATCGCTATTTATAGGTGTTGGAAGAGATATCAGATATCTAGATCCTTATTACATCTTCAAGAATTAAGATTTCTCTACAATGATAGCTAGATATTTATGTTGTCTAGGTATTACTCCGTATTACATTTGAGGCTTCTAGAATTATACATTCTAGATACTCTTCGACAATGCCTACAATATTTAGGTTATTCTAGAGAATACAATCTAAATATTGATTGTATACTGTGTGCGCGCGCTCATGTACTTTTATGTCGAGTTATACCCTGATTCTATTTATGAATGTGTTTGTTTGTTTTCCTTGTTGGGGTTTTACTTAGTTTGAATAGAAACCAGGGAGCAACAAAATGAACTTGGTGGAGAGTAATGTAAAGTAGGATTGTATGAATTGGCAATTTGGCATTTGGGAAACTCAAGTGCCTTTGAATTTCCTTGGCGGAGATTGCTGTAAGGTTTGATGTAGCATAGTTGTAGCTTTAATGGTAATTCTTGACAATTCGTCTTGATCAGGTAAAAAATCTCAGATGACAGTCAGTTAATGACTAAATATGTGCTTACATTTTTTGCTGCACCATAATTTTGGTGATGATTGGCCTCAAGATCGATACTTATATTATGGTCTTACTAATGTTCTTATTTTTATTATGTGCGGTCTGGAAAGCAAGGTTCTTATTTAGATGGCGAGTAATGAAAACAAAGAGTCAGATTCCCGTGGAAATGAGTGGGAGGTTGTTTCACTTACTGCATCTGAATATGCTGATGGTGATGGGCTAAAAGGCTGTGAAGAGTATGAAGCTGAAACTTCTAGTTCATTGTTTATGTCTCGTCACTTTGCCTTTCCACCATCAAGCCAGCTTGAGTATTTGCAACCGCAACCAGGAAAGAGTGAAATTCTCACTGAAAAGGTGGTTAAAAGGGATGAATTTGTCTCTACGGATGATGGTGGTAGGACAGATGAAAAGACTGAAGAGCATCTGAAAAGTAAAGAGGCTGAGTTTCCTGGGATGCATATTTTTTATGAAACGGGTGATTTAGCTGTTGGTGAAGCAGAAGTTATAGGTGACACAACTCCGGAAGGGTCAGATTGGGTAGAGAAGGAACCAAAGCTATATGGCACTGGAGCCCATAGTAGTTCCTTACAAGGTGAAAATGAAAAGAACATGTTTGGCGGATCCATGATTTTGGATGAAAGTAGTGCCGCAAGCAATGACACGTTATCAGAATCAATTCCTCAGCAGGCAGACATCTCAGGTTTTCCAAATGAGAAGAAGCACGATGGGGATGACCACCTTCCCTGTCAAGCTTGGTGGAAACGACAATCTGCATCCCTGATTGCTCATGCTAAGGAGGCAAACACATTTTGGTCGGTTTTCATTGCGGCAGCTGTAATGGGCCTTGTTATAATTGGTCAATGTTGTCAGCATGAGAGGTGGCTGCAGTTGAAGTGGCAGAATCTTGGAGGTGTCCATGATGAGGTTAGTCATTGAATGCATCAGTTTTAATTATTCAACAAATTATAATGCTATACTGATTACCATTGAGGATTAGTTGTCACTTAAACACCTCCACTCTATATTCAAGATATCCCAATTTTTCGGCAACACTTGAAATAAATAGGGTGGAGATCAAATACAAATATACAATGATCCTTTTTGGGGGTTTGCAACACAATGAATCTATTATGATATGTTAAGTCATCTCATACCGACCAAATATAACAATATAAAAGCCTTGAACTACTCTTTTTAAAACAAAATCTTAAGTCTTGATATGATTTCGGAGCCAATATAAATATATAAATTCATACTACTCTGCTTAAAGCTAATTAGAAAAAGTCTTGACCTACTCCTCCTCTTCAGTTCACCATATTAGAATGGAACCTTAGTCGTGAATCTCATGATGAATTTTGAAATTCATATTCACAGCTAAACTAAAGGACGACTAGTAATAGATGATGCTTTATCCGTTGTCCATATTGTACAGAAAATATGCAGGATGGTGGGTCCTCTATCCCGTATTAGAAATGCAATCATTGGAGGTGATCATCGAGGTTCCTCCATCCGAGGTAGTGCCTCTACACAACATTAAGATGATGACGAAAAAAGATTGGGCACCACTTTGTATGGAATTGCAAAGCTTACCCTTAATATGTAATACGTCGTATATAAATTAAAGTCATGCTGGTATTATTATATTGGTCACTTTTGTTACTGGGATGAATTGTATGATTAATACTTGGGGGTTAATACATGTAAACACAGGTCATGCTGGCATTATTATATTGGTCACTTCTGTTACTGGGATGGATTATACTTGGGGAGAAACTTCATATCATTTTTTTTTCACTTGCATTGTCATCTCCATCTGAATGCATGATATATATTACTTTTGAAATTTTGAGTTGGGGATGAAAGTTCACAAGTGACCATTGTACAAACCATGCGTGTTTGGTGGTGTACACCATATGTATACACTTGCATACACTCACATACAATTCATGTCTATCACATTAATTTTGAGAAACAAATGTCTATGTGTGCATTGAATATACATGTTTGCAAGCACCCTACACATATATTGATCTCTATGCACATAGACATAGATTTGAGGGTTGGTTTGTATACTTAATTTGCATATAGAATTATGTCTATGTACAAGTGCACTTATATGTGTAGCTTGTTCGCAAACATTTTCGTATATGGCATTGCATCTTACATTCTTACTCACACAAACATATTTTGTTTATGAACTAATCCGTATTACATGAATCGACAGAATCGTTATGCGAAGGGTGTATAAGTGACGAATCATTAGTGCTTTACTGCTTTGACTTGAGCGTGTTGTAACAACCAACTAAATACCTGTACAGAATATAGAGGATTTGAATTCTTCTATTCATACTCTTTTTGAAAAAAAAATTCGGGCCATTCAGTAAAACGAAACACCCCCCAAAAATTGTGTGTTTGGGTTTTGTGGGGCATAGGAACGGAAAAACTCAATAGAACTCCTAATACATCAATATAAGACATGCATAAAATATTACCGGTATTAATTGTTATATTAAAAGGAACTCTTATTTATTAGTGATCAATTTTGTTATAGTCATTTTAGGAGATCATTCATTGGAAAGTTTTTTTTTGAAAGTAACCATCTTAATTAGCATTAATCAAATCAAATGACAAGGCACTCGGGGGGTGAATTCACCCAAATCTGACTATCAGACATAGAACAGATTGCCTTAGCTAACACATGAGCAACCCTATTCGTTGACCGTCTAACAAAAGAAAAAGAAATATTATTAAACCCTGAGCTGACTTCCCTGATATCCTCAGCCAACAGTCCACATGTTGATAGGCTTGTTCCCGCTTAAACTTTCGAAATCGACGTTAGAGAATCTGATTCAATTTGCACAAAATCCCACGCGGCACGCCTGGTCCTTCAACCAACTTAACACTTCCCGAATACCCAGAAGCTCGGCATCCAACGGAGAGCAACTGCCATCCCACTTTTGAGTCCCTCATGCGACAAAAATCCCAACATCGTCACGGATCACCCAACCAAGTCCTTGCCTCGACCTCCAACAGCTGCGTCCACATTGGCCTTCAACCAGTCCACCCCAAGCTATGTCCACTACTGCATAATCGCTGGAGAATCTCACTGCTCTCTATTCTCATTCACATGCGCTGACCGCCAACTGTCCACGAATATTGCTCTTCCTTCCAGACTCGCCTATTGCGCTCAACCCAGATTCCCCAACATCCCCAAGCAACCTTGCATAACTCATCTCCCTTTTTGCTCTAAAACACCTTCATTAACCAATCTAAAAAATCCATTCATGTACTCTGTCAAACCACAAACCAACCGATTCCCACGCCTTAAAAGCATCCGAGCACATCACAAAGAGATGCAACAGTGTTTCGCCTTCCGCCCCGCATAGCTCGCAGCGCTCCACACACTCCACCCGTCTCAACCGAAGGTTCGTTGTCATGGGTAATGTGCTTATATCGAGTTTGGGTAAGGCTTATGATTGTGTTGGATTGAATGTTCCTTTTTGTGGAGTGTGCGGAGCGCTGCGGGTGGAGTGTGCGAAGCGCTGCGGGCTATGCAGGGCGGAAGGCGAAACACTGTTTGGAATTTCAAGGAATAAAAACATAATACTCCTATTTTGGAATTTCAAAACTTTTTTACTAATAATTAGATGAGGGAAAAAATTATTCGAGGAACCGATAAAAGTAAGAACCGAACCGTTTAGTATTGGTTTGATTTCATAACGGTTCTTGATTTTATACACAAGAACCGAACCGATTTCATTAGTTAAAATTTTTGTAAGGGTTCCACCAATTTTGAGTAAGAACCCTCTTATGGGTGGTTCGGTACGGTATACCGAATATTTTCTCTCATACCTTTGCCGCACCAAAACTTTCGGTATACAGAATTTATATACCTTTACCTTACCGAAGTTTCGGTATATCGCATTTCGGTATACCGAAGTTTCGGTTCGGTAACGGTACGGTATCGGTAAATTGCCATGCATGTCTCCCAATACAACAAATTATCATAGACTAACAAAATATACTAAATCGGTGTTACTAGCGACATATTTAATCCATTATTAGAATGTTACAAAATACAATTAATAATCTATTGATGTCACATTCAATATTGAACAATAATTATTATTAGTATATTTAAGCAGTTCAACATGTCACATATGGATATAATTATATAAATATAGATATAATTATATAAATAGTAATCTCTAACAAAAATAAACAAAATTATTCAAACAACAAGGATATAAAATCATTTATCCCTAATATGATATTTTGTATTTAATCATTTTTATAGTTTTTAAAAAATATTTGAATTAAGTATTAATTTTGGGCTTCAAAATTGTAATGGACTTTTACAATATTTTAGAATTTAAAGTAATTGTCGGGTAGGGAGTCGGTACGGTATTATACCGGTATACCGTGGTATTTGAAAACATTTACCGTTAACTTACCGAAATAAATCGGTACGGTATGATACCGTACAAAAAATGACGGTATACCAATATTTCATTATTTTCCGGTATTTTTTTGATAGAGTAAGGGTTACCCTCTTCCTACGATTAACCCTCTGCTTCCCGAGTCTCCGTTCTTTCAAGCTTTCCGCCTGCTCTGACTTTCCGATTCTACAATTAACCCTCTTCCTTGTCCCAATTTCTTCTTCCTCTCTCCAGGTATATCTCTTCCTCTCTTCTCCCAAGTTTATCCAGCGTGGCGGCTTGGCTCTCCCACCCTAACTTACCACTCCTTCCCCGCACTCGACGCCCACTGGTATTTCCTCGCCCTTAACGGCTACACAGATATCTACGGCGACTTCTCATGTGCCACCGGGGTCAGCAACGGTCGGTTTGAGTAGGTTGTAAGGTGTAATGTGTTTCCAGTATTCCAGTTCGGTTTTGATTTTAATTTATGTTTTAAGTTTTCATTTTAATTTCTGTGGGCACCCTTGTGTAAGGTTGTAGTTTTTCCAGGATCTGGGTTTTGGCTTCTCATTGTTAATTGTTGTCATTTGAATATATATACATATACATGTGTGTGTGTATTTGGTGATAAATAAATTATGTTTCACTTCCACAAAAACCCATCAAAATCTATAAAATTTTAAAAAAGAATTCCACTAAAATCCATGGAATTCTATTCTTTAGAATCCATGGATTCTATGGAATTTCATCATTGTCCTATGAAATCCACAATCCTAAGAAATCTTTTGAAATCAAAGTCGGGGACACCCCCCCTTAGTTTTGTTTCAATAATCCAGATATGAAATACTTCTTTTCTAATTTACGAATTTTTAGGTACACGTTAAAAAGCAATTTACATATCTCAAAAACTGTCCATATACTCTTAGATGCTACATAGTTTTTTAGCCGTGGGGTTGTACAAATCTTACTTATAAGTATTTGTTTTTATCATATTTTTTTTTTCAAATTTCTGTTTTATATATTTTTATTTTTATTTTATTGATTGCAGATTGGTTCGGCTGTGTTTTTCATTTGTGATTCTCTGTTTTTAATGATATCATCAGGAGTATCTATTTCATTAAAATGTGTATCTTTGAACTTCTTGCTCAGATTGACAGATTCTCTTAGTAAAAAAGGAAATATTATGCATAGAAGATGCTTGGTTATGGTTTGAAAAAGTGGCATTTTGGTTTGATTGGGGATAATTTAACTATCCTTATCGCATCAATTAGGGTTTTGCATTGTTCTGCACAATAGATGCTTTAGCGATCAATATGGATGTCTATACACCTGGAGAGTGCTTTATCTCTGTAACTTCTAAACTTCAGTTACTTTAAGTGGGAAAATTGGCAAAGCAAACTTGCTTTAGTATATGTAGACAAATAAAATCATACAGTTCCAAGAATAATTCACTCTTTTGGATTTGTCAAAAACTTGTGGCTTTCAGTGAGGAAATGGGTGAAGAGGAAAATCCAAAAATTACTAGAAGAGCCACTAGATTATCAGCATCCTCGGTGGCACTAAATTCAAAAGATGTTCAGGTGGAGTTAAAACCTCTCACAATTAACGATCTTGCTTTTGGTAATGAATCCATTACCTTTGATGAATTGATGTCCACTTTACCGGGAAGGCAGGCCCAAATCAATGAATTGTTGCGATTACTAGGCCCCTTGAATTCCCCAATGTATCCTCTTTTCTTGTACGGAGGAGCTTCAGTTGGGAAAACAAGCACAGTTCTTCAGACATTCAAGCATCTTAAGAGGCCATTTGTGTACGGTAGCTGCATAACTTGTTATAGCCCCAGGGTCCTGTTCGAATCCGTCTTAAACCAGTTGTTTCTGCACACAAGGACTGAAAGCAATGGTTATTCAAGTGCAAAACGGTGTAGTGATAGGCCCTCGGATTTTGTGAATCTCTTGCGTGAAGCTCTGGTTAAGGTTGTTGAGGATTTGAAGAGGAATGAGGACAAATCGGGATCTCCAAGGACTGCTAATGGCAGGATGATTTACTTGGTATTTGATAATGTAGAGCTCATCAGAGGATGGGATAAGCGTGAAATATTGCCTTTCCTGTTTAAACTTAATGACATTCTGAAGATGCCGGAGGTCGGTTTGATCTTTGTCAGTAGTACCTCTCCTGATACTTATTACACCGATGACACGGGCTGTGTGGAGTTTGTTCATGTTTACTTTCCTGATTATACAGAAGATGATCTTCGCCAAATCTTTATGAAGAACCAAGCAAATACAAAACTGTACTCATCATTTCTAGGGTTAGTTTTCTTTTCAACTTATTTCTAGTTGTTGATTACCTGTCATAGGCTCTCTTGTAGCTGAGCCCCTTTCATCATCATTGTTGTTTATATTACTATTGTTATTGCTATATATGTTAGTTTTAATAGCATCACTATTGCTATTGCTATTGTTATAATTATTATTAAAGGGGATTTTCCTATAACTCAGTCGTTAGAACACGTGGACAATAGTATGACTTCATGTTCACTATATACACTGAAAGTACAATCAGAGTCACTGGCTCACTGCAATGTAAACCTGACTGTAACAATAATTTCATGGTGGTCACTGCGCATCAAAAATCATATTTTTGCCTTTTATTCTTATTTTAGTCATATATTCTCATCCTTTTTCTTCACCTTACACTTTTCCTTTTTTGTTTAGAGTGGTGCTCAAATCTTTCTGTCGAGTCACGAGAAGAGTTGATGAGCTATCTGCTGCCCTTTCACCCTTGTTCAAGATTTACTGTGAACCCCTTGATGACTCAGGGGCTGTTCCTAGTAAAGATTTTATAAGTATTTTGTTTAATCACCTTAAACCACATATTGGGCCATCCATGAATAAGGTCTTCAATATGTCATCCCGGCCTGAAGCAGCAACCTCCAACGATACCAACCACAATAAGAAAGTAAAGAGTAAAGCCGCATTTGCTGACTCTTCTGACTTTCACATGTCTGTGTGTGCAAAGTATCTTCTCATATCTGCATTTATTGCGTCAAGAAACCCAGCAACTCTTGATGCCTCCCTGTTTGATCCGACTGGAGGATGTGGCAGTCGGAAAAAGAAGAGAAAGTAAGAATACTCAACTTTTGCAGGAAGTAATGTGTACCGTTTCTTTCCCTTATATGCTTGGAATTTCTTTTTATATGTAATTTACTTCAGGGTGTCTCAGAAATCAGTGGAGCAGAAAGAGATGACAGAGCAAGAATCTATGATGAAAGGACCAGGAACTTTTCCTTTGGAAAGATTATTGGCTATATTTCAGTGTATAACATCTGTCTCTGAATGTTTGCCTGAAGACGAAGAAGAACCAGGAAAAGAAGGAAAGAGTTGGAACAGTGGGTTGATGTCTGATGTTCTATTACAGTTATCAAGCCTCTGCAATGCTAATTTCATCAGCAAAGGAGGAAGTTGCCCTCTAGAAGGTTCAACGCGGTATCGATCCTTGGTATCCGAAGATTTGGCTCTCAAGGTATTGGCATTCTTATTCAACCCCACCCCTACCGCCCTACCCTCACTGTTCAACTTTTGATTATTACATTAAAGCATTGTTATATTCTGTTTTGCTTTCTGATTACTTCAGGTTGCTAGGAGCATAGAATTTCCTCTGTCAAAGTATTTATACAGATGACATAGCTGGTTCATTGTAAGCTAGCTTTGCAAATCTTGGCACTCCACATCCTATAAAAGAATCCCAAAGAAGACCCCTATGTGGTTTTGGTCGGTGGCACTAAATGTCAGCCAGCTTAGTGAACAGCTAATATTGCAATCAAGCTTATCCAATTATTTGAAGCAAGATTTCCAGAAGTGGGGTGTGAGGCTAGTGCCAACACATATTGCTGCTGTTGTTGTGCAAGTGTTGTGTTTCTGTATCCTTTAATTAGTTGAGTAAACAAGGAAGGTGGTCCTGTGTTAAAGGATCCCTTAATTTCCGGCTGCTGCAATTTAATACACCCTAAGTTGTTTATACATATTCAAAAATATTTAGTTTGGGAATTTATAAAAATATTTATATATCCTCTGAAAATTGAGAGTTGATAGTTGGGATTAATAAAGAAAGGTCAACTGTAGTTGTGATTATTTAAAGCTTACGCATAGTTCACATTTAAAATTGACTTGCTATACTAGGTACTAACATGTTAGGAACTATTTTTGGAAAATGTCCCTGTAGTTGGGACCACTCAAGAATAATCGTTAGTTGAGATTATTAAAGGCGGATTGGCAATAATTGCGATTATTATTTTCAATTTTTCCTAGGGGTGGACTCGGGTCCGGGCCGGGTCCAGGTCGGGCCTAGGCCCGGGCGGGACGGCGGTTCAAGAATGGTGGACCCGGGACCGGCCCGGGTAGCCACCGGGTCCGGTCCGGGTCCGGGCCGGGCCTCCGGTTTGGATTTTTTTTTTTTTTTTTGCTTTCCTAACCCCCCCCTCACCCCCACCCTCCCAAACCCCCCCAAACCCATCCTACCCATCAAGCCCAACCCGGGTGGAACCCCAAAAATGAAAAAAAAAATAAAAAAATTCAATTTGGCCCGGGCCCGACCCGGCCGGGCCGGTTCACCAAAATTGAGACCCGAGCCCAGACCCGCCCTACCCCCGGGCCTAGGCCTGACCCGGACCCGAGAATCGGGCCGGTCCCGGTCCCGCACAGTATCGGGCCGGTCCCGGTCCCGCACAGTAGCGGGCCGGGCCGGTCCACGGGCCGGGTGGCCCGACCCAAGTCCAAGCCTAATTTTTCCTATGAGGTATGAAGTTTTATAGTTAATAAATCTGGAGAACGTACAACAATGCAATGATTTAACATTATAAAATAAACATAATAAAGTTTTTTGTGAAAATATATGCCAAGGATTTATGAACTATTTTCTTAATGTGATTATCATGTTTTATTGGTAAATCTACTATGTTTTGATAAATGAATCTAGATATATTAAAGCTGATTTGTAATGACTATTATATGTGAATTATAGAAATTAGTGTTATGAAATATTAGATGAGTCTAACTTTTAAAAGAGATTAGCATTTGTATGCAACTATAAAATGAACACAACAAAATTATAGAAGAAAACATGCTAATGAATACACTTAAATGAAGAAGTAATTTATAAGTTGTAACAAATAATTAGGTTTATGATCTATAGAAATGTTATTTATGTTATACCTATGGTCACAAGGTTCAAGGCATTGTAAATTAGTATGATATTACAAGTGAATATAACAAAGATTTCGAATGAGTACAAAAAGTTATAACTATATTGCTTAGAAATATATACATCGGTGTAATATTATAAAATGAACACAATAAATTAATGTAATATTATTTTTCTTGAAACTTTTTCATTAAACAGCTACTAACCGGGCGTTCAATATATCCTTGATCTAGAGTTCTTTCCTAAAATAATGTAAAATAAAAAAAAATATTTACGAAATTTGACTTAGGTCAAAAATATTTTTCGAATACTACTGGATAAACTATGGTTGAGAAAATCGTCACTTGAAGTGACGGCTCGCTTAGGAAAAGGATTCTACCGCACCAGGAGTAGGAGAAAAGCATGCGTGGGTGCCACCAAGTTAAAAATTTCCTGTTTTTTAAAGTGCTATAATTTTTTTGAGTTTTTTACATAAATATTACCAACAAGATTTACGGTTACAAGAAAGTGACTATTACAATGGATCACATACAAGTATACAACAGCCAGGAAGCAAGATAGGGCAAAAAGTCATATTTTTGTTAATGAGGTTTAAAGTAGTATAATTTGTGTAAATTTTTCTTTTTGATTTGTACTCCGATTATTACAAAAAATATATCATTACTCGTAACTTTTTATTCTTTCATATAGCACCATTATTTCATTTATAAAAATAATTATATATCAAAAATATATCAAAATTTATAACTTTTTATTATGTTTCATATAAATGAATATTGCATATATATGAATAAAATAACAATTTAGCACTTTAAAAAACTTTTGTTTTTAAAGTGTTTTAACTTTTTTATTTATACTCCGATTGTTATAAAAAAATAAATCAAAATTCATACAATTTTTATTGTCATTCACATGACACCAATAGTACATATATAAAAATAAAAAATAATTTAGCACTTTGGCAATATAAATTATATTGCTGCGATATTGCAATTTTTTGTATATATGCAATATTGGTGTCTTATGAAAGATAATAAAATGTTATAAATTTTGATATATTATTTGTAACAATTGGAGTACAAATAAAAAATTGTAAAACTTTAATTTTTTGTAAATGCTTAATTAATTTTTATTTTTATACTAGTTAATCCACCCGTGCGCTGCACGGGAGTGAGACACCCACATAATAATTTAGATATAGTTATATATTTAAAAATATTTAAAAAATATGATTGTGTTAGAATTATTTGAAAACATTATATAAATTATGAATAAATGGTAAGAACTAAATGTAAAACATCACAAGATGAAATGAATGCGCATTTAAGTCCACCACATTATAATGAAAATTATAAATTACTCTAAAGTACATATTTCTTTGTAAACAACATTCAATATAGTGCTTTTAGGTAAGATAACAACTTTTTTCAACGATTGTCCGTGACTCTTATTAATGGTCATTGCAAACCTAACAATTTTAGGCGGATAATGCTTAGGCGGCAAAAATTTATCTCTCCAATATAGTGCTTTAAGGTATAGGATGAAATTAATTTTTAGGATTTTAGGATGATGTTTTTTTTTTTGTGGAGATTGTAATTGCATCTTAGGATTTTAGGCGGACAATGCTTAGGTGGGATAATTTTTTCTCTTCACCATAGTGCTTTTATGTATAGGATGATTTTTTTTTTGCAGAAAGTGAAATTACATATTAGGATTTTAGGTGGAGAATGCTTAGGCGGGAGAATAGTTTCTCTACAGTGTAGTGCTTTTAGGTATAGGATGTTTTTTTTTGCGGAAAGTGAAATTCCATTTTAGGATTTTAGGCGGAAATGCTTAGACGGGAAGATTTTTTCTCCTAGTGTAGTGCGTATACGATGATGATGATGATTTTTTTTTTGTGGAAACTGAAATTACATTTTAGGATTTTAGGCGGAGAGTGCTTAAGCGGGATAATTTTCTCTCTCTAGTGTAGTGCTTTTAGGTATAGGACAGACGGAGAGTGCTTAAGCGGGAAATTTTTTTCTCTTTAGTGTAGTACTTTTAGGTATAAGATGATGATTTTTTTTTTTGCGGAAAGTGAAATTACATTTTAGGATTTTAGGCGGAGAATGCTTAGGCGGGAGAATTTTCTCTCTCTAGAGTAGTGCTTTTATGTATAGGATAGGCGGAGAATGCTTAGGCGGGAGAATTTTCTCTCTCCAGTGTAGTGCTTTTAGGTATAGGATGATGATTTTTTTTTGCGGAAAGTGAAATTACATTTTAGAATTTTAGGCGGAGAATGCTTAGGCGGGAGAATTTTCTCTCCAGTATAGTGATTTTATGTATATGATGATTTTTTTTTTTGCAGAAAGTGAAATTACATATTAGGATTTTAGGCGGAAAATGCTTAGGCGGGAGAATTTTCTCTCTCCAGTGTAGTGCTTTTAGGTATAGGATGTTTTTTTTTTGCGGATGAAATTTCATTTTAGGATTTTAGGCAAAGAATGCTTAGGCGGGAGGATTTTCTCCCCCAGTGTAGTGCTTTTAGGTAAATGATTATTATGATGATGATGATTTTTTTTTGTGGAAAGTGAAATTACATTTTAGGATTTTATGCGGAGAATGCTTAAGCGGGATAATTTTTCTCTCTCCAGTGTAGTGCTTTTGGGTATAGGATGATTATTATAATGATGATGATTATTTTCTGTGGAGAGTGAAATTACATTTTAGGATTTTATGCGGAGAATGCTTAAGCGGGATAATTTTCTCTCTCTAGTGTAGTGCTTTTAGGTATAGTATGATGATTTTTCTTTTGCGGAAAGTGAAATTATATTTTAGGATTTTAGGCAGAGAATGCTTAGGCGGAAGAATTTTCTCTCTCCAGTGTAGTGCTTTTAGGTATAGGATAGGCGGAAAATGCTTAGGCGGGAGAATTTTCTCTGTCCAGTGTAGTGCTTTTAGGTATAGAATGATTATTATGATGATGATGATTTTTTTTTGTGGAAAGTGAAATTACATTTTAGGATTTTATGCGGAGAATGCTTAAGCGGGATATTTTTCTCTCTCTAGTGTAGTGCTTTTAGGTATAGGATGATTATTATGATGATGATGATTTTTTTTTGTGGAAAGTGAAATTACATTTTAGAATTTTATGCGGAGAATGCTTAAGCGGGATAATTTTCTCTCTCCAGTGTAGTGCTTTTAGGTATAGGATGATGATTTTTTTTTTGCGGAAAGTGAAATTATATTTTAGGATTTTAGGCGGAGAATGCTTAGGCGGAAGAATTTTCTCTCTCCAGTGTAGTGATTTTAGGTATAGGATAGGCGAAAAATGCTTAGGCGGGAAAATTTTCTCTCTCCAGTGTAGTGCTTTTAGGTACAGAATGTTTTTTTTGTGGAAAGTGAAAATAGATCTTAGGATTTTAGGCGGATAATGCTTTGTCGGAAAAATCTTCTCTTTCCGGTGTAATGCTTTTATGTATAGGATGAAATTACATCTTAGGACTTAGGATTATAGGATGATGTTTTTTTTTTGGAAAGTGTAATTACATTTTATGAATTTAGGCGGAGAATGTTTAGGCGAGAGAATTTTATCTCTCCGGTGTAGTGCTTTTATGTATAGAATGTTTTTTTGTGGAAAGTGAAATTAGATTTTAGGATTTTAGGCGGATAATGCTTAGTCGGAAAAATCTTCTCTCTCCAGTGTAGTGCTTTTATGTATAGAATGAAATTACATTTTAGGACTTAGGATTATAGGATGATGATTTTTTTTTTTGCGGAAAGTGAAATTACATTTTAGGATTTTAGGCGGAGAATGCTTAGGCGGGAGAATTTTCTCTCTCTAGAGTAGTGCTTTTATGTATAGGATAGGCGGAGAATGCTTAGGCGGGAGAATTTTCTCTCTCAAGTGTAGTGTTTTTAGGTATAGGATGATGATTTTTTTTTTGCGGAAAGTGAAATTACATTTTAGAATTTTAGGCGGAGAATGCTTAGGCGGGAGAATTTTCTCTCCAGTATAGTGATTTTATGTATATGATGATTTTTTTTTTGCAGAAAGTGAAATTACATATTAGGATTTTAGGCGGAAAATGCTTAGGCGGGAGAATTTTCTCTCTCCAGTGTAGTGCTTTTAGGTATAGGATGTTTTTTTTTGCGGATGAAATTTCATTTTAGGATTTTAGGCAAAGAATGCTTAGGCGGGAGGATTTTCTTCCCCAGTGTAGTGCTTTTAGGTAAATGATTATTATGATGATGATGATTTTTTTTTGTGGAAAGTGAAATTACATTTTTGGATTTTATGCGGAGAATGCTTAAGCGGGATAATTTTTCTCTCTCCAGTGTAGTGCTTTTGGGTATAGGATGATTATTATAATGATGATGATTATTTTCTGTGGAGAGTGAAATTACATTTTAGTATTTTATGCGGAGAATGCTTAAGCGGGATAATTTTCTCTCTCTAGTGTAGTGCTTTTAGGTATAGTATGATGATTTTTTTTTTTTGCGGAAAGTGAAATTATATTTTAGGATTTTAGGCAGAGAATGCTTAGGCGGAAGAATTTTCTCTCTCCAGTGTAGTGCTTTTAGGTATAGGATAGGCGGAAAATGCTTAGGCGGGAGAATTTTCTCTGTCCAGTGTAGTGCTTTTAGGTATAGAATGATTATTATGATGATGATGATTTTTTTTTGTGGAAAGTGAAATTACATTTTAGGATTTTATGCGGAGAATGCTTAAGCGGGATATTTTTCTCTCTCTAGTGTAGTGCTTTTAGGTATAGGATGATTATTATGATGATGATGATTTTTTTTTGTGGAAAGTGAAATTACATTTTAGGATTTTATGCGGAGAATGCTTAAGCGGGATAATTTTCTCTCTCCAGTGTAGTGCTTTTAGGTATAGGATGATGATTTTTTTTTTGCGGAAAGTGAAATTATATTTTAGGATTTTAGGCGGAGAATGCTTAGGCGGAAGAATTTTCTCTCTCCAGTGTAGTGCTTTTAGGTATAGGATAGGCGAAAAATGCTTAGGCGGGAAAATTTTCTCTCTCCAGTGTAGTGCTTTTAGGTACAGAATGTTTTTTTTGTGGAAAGTGAAAATAGATCTTAGGATTTTAGGCGGATAATGCTTAGTCGGAAAAATCTTCTCTTTCCGATGTAGTGCTTTTATGTATAGGATGAAATTACATCTTAGGACTTAGGATTATAGGATGATGTTTTTTTTTTTGGAAAGTGTAATTACATTTTATGAATTTAGGCGGAGAATGTTTAGGCGAGAGAATTTTATCTCTCCGGTGTAGTGCTTTTATGTATAGAATGTTTTTTTGTGGAAAGTGAAATTAGATTTTAGGATTTTAGGCGGATAATGCTTAGTCGGAAAAATCTTCTCTCTCCAGTGTAGTGCTTTTATGTATAGGATGAAATTACATTTTAGGACTTAGGATTATAGGATGATGATTTTTTTTTTTGCGGAAAGTGAAATTACATTTTAGGATTTTAGGCAGAGAATGCTTAGGCGGGAGAATTTTCTCTCTCCAGTGTAGTGCTTTTAGGTATAGGATGATGATGGATGATTTTTTTTGTGGAAAGTGAAATTACATTTTAGGATTTTAGGCGGAGAATGCTTAAGCGAGAGAATTTTTTCTCTCCAGTGTAGTGCTTTTAGGTATAGGATATGTAATATTGATATCATATGAAAGATAATAAAAAGTTGTGAATTGTGATATATTGTTGTAATAATCAGAATACAAATAAAAAAGTTGTATCATTTTAAAAGAAACTTGATTTTTTTATTTGATGGGACCTAGGTGGGCTTTTCTACTCTCTTTATGCCGTAGTATCCTTTGTCTAAACTACGGCTGGACAAATCGGTTTACGGTTCGGTTTCTGTTGGTTTCGGTTTATTCGATTTTTATCGAGTGACAATTTTCTTAACCCTATTTTAGATCTCTATTCGTATGCAATGCGAATCTAAATTTATCACTGCATTTCACTCCCAAATGATTATTTTGCTAATGTGTTTGATTTTTTATGAATTGTGTAGTTGAGATTGGAATTGCAAGCTTTTTTAATTGGACAAATCTGAATGGATGTGGGAGTAGGAGGTTGAACTTGTACATTGATTTTATCACTTCATTTCTCTCCCAACTTGAAATTGTACATTGAATTTGGTGATGTGGGAATGGGTCCATGGGAGGTTAATGATTTTATTTGGATATTTTGTTAATCTTGTAATTTGTTAGAGAATCTTCAATACTACAATGTGCACGTTGTACATGTGGCTTGAGAGATAGCCACATAAATATTAGTAAATAAATTTTTTATATCCTTATTTGAATGGTTTTATTCACTTTTGGTAAGTTTTTCTCCACAATGTCAAGGAAACCGTCTAGATGTTGACATTGCAGTTGACATTGCAGGGGAAAACTTACCAAAATTGTATAAAATCATTCAAATAAGGAGAGAGATAATTTATTTGCTAATATTTATGTGGTTATCTTTGATGCCACATGTGCACCGTGCAAACTATAACATTGAAGATGCTCTTATTGTTTAAATATCTAGCCTAAGGATTTTAATTAATTTAGTGCATTTTTAAAATAATCTACATTTTAAAAACGATTTAGGGATCTTACTTAATTTAAAAATCTGGATTGATTACAGCTAGTAAATGCACTCCCAGAAACCACATAAGCTTTAAGTTAAACCCGTCCTGAGTCCTGAGATCTTTAAGCTGGTCACATGCTTAGGGATTTGGATGGGCAAAGAAATTACAAATGAATGGTCCTGTCCAGGCTGTCCTACAGTCCAACTGGACTGATTAATATAGTGAGGTTTACTTCGTATTGAACTCGGAGCACTTCAAAGCACTTCTTGCTCCCTCTGCACAAAAGCCTTCATCCCTAAACTCGGAGCACAGAGTTTGGGTCACAAAACGCTGGAATGAAGACAACTATGGAGTGGGTATGAGAGGGCTGGTTGCTAAACTTAAAAAGTTTGAATCTGATCTTAGAATATGGGGGAAAATGTTTTTTGGAATTCTTTTATGAGTATATAAAGTTCTGTGAAGATGAAGTGATGAAAGCTGAAAACCTGTTTGAAGAAGATCCCTCGGAAGCTAATAGAGAAAGCTGGTCACATAAACAGGCTCTTCTTCTACAAAAATATAGCCTTGAAAGAAAACTCTGGAAACAAAAGGCCCATATTACAAACTCCAAGTACTACCATTCTTTTGTCAAAATCAGAAGAAGGAAGCAGCAGATTAACAATATTGTGGACAGCCAGAGTAAAAGTTGTTCTTCTTTGCCTGATATTTGTAAAGTGTTCAATTTTATTCTCATCTCTATGGAACTGGTGAAGAAATCAGAACTGGGGATATGTTGGAAAATATACCCTATTGTATCACTCTCGTGAGACACCCACATAATAATTTAGATATAATTATATATTTGAAAATATTTAAAAAATATGATTGTGTTAAAATTATTTGAAAACATTAAATAAGTTCTGAAGAAATGGTAAGAACTAAATGTAAAACATCACAGGATGAAATGGATGTGCACTTAAGTCCACCACATTATAACGAAAATTATAAATTACTCTATAGTACATATTTCCTTGTAAACAACATTCAATGTTGATTTGGTTGGTTGTCCATCTTCGTCGTTACAAACTCCAATCCCATGAACTTGTTACCCTCCACACCGCCACATACAAATGTTTGTGAGTAATAATGGGGCGTCAGAGTAAGATGACAACCTTTTTCAATGATTGTCCGTGACTCTTATTAATGGCCATTGCAAACCTAACAATTTTAGGCGGATAATGCTTAGGCGGGAAAATTTTCTCTCTCCAGTGTAGTGCTTTTAGGTATAAGATGAAATTACATTTTAGGATTTTAGGATTATAGGATGATGATTTTTTTTTGTAGAAAGTGTAATTACATTTTAGGATTTTAGGCGAAGAATGCTTAGGCGAGAGAATTCTCTCTCTCGAGTCTAGTGCTTTTATGTATAGGATGATTTTTTTTTGCGGAAAATGAGATTACATTTTAGGATTTTAGGCGGATAATGCTTAGGCTAGAGGATTTTCTCTCTAGTGTAGTGCTTTTAGGTATAGGATAGGCGAAGAATGCTTAGGCGGGAGAATTTTCTCTCTCCAGTGTAATGCTTTTAGGTATAGGATGATGTTTTTTTTTTGCAAAAAGTGAAATTACATTTTAGGATTTTAGGCCGAGAATGCTTAGGTGGGAGAATTTTCTCTCTCCAGTGTAGTGCTTTTAGGTATATATATATATATATGATGATGATGATGATGATTTTTTTTGTGGAAAGTGAAATTACATTTTAGGATTTTAGGCAGAGAATGCTTAGGCGGAAGAATTTTCTCTCTCCAATGTAGTGCTTTTAGGTAGAGGATAGGATATGCGGAGAATGCTTAGGCGAGAGAATTTTCTCTCTCCGGTGTAGTGATTTTAGATATATGATTTTTTTGTGAAAAGTGAAATTACATTTTAGGATTTTAGGTGGAGAATGCTTAAGCGGGAAAATTTTCTCTCTCCCGTGTAGTGCTTTTAGGTATAGAAGATAATAGAAGATAATTTGTGTTTTAAATAATTTTCTCTCCCATGCACAAATCACAATCACGCCGTTTTTTGTTTATTAATTCTCGTGTCGGTTTGTAAAAGTTTTAAGGGACAAACTAATTAAGGAAGACAACAGAACGACAATCCGACTTCCTTCGAGCCACGTCTTCGGGAATCCCGATCAATCGATTTCTGTTGTTGGTTGCTGATGACGGAGCAGATTTAGAAAGAGGTAGCTGTCTTCGGTTGGTAGCAGATTGTAGGACTTCGCTGGTCAGTCTACGGCCAACGGCTACCGCAACACCCCACAGGCCACAGCTTCTGTCCTATGCGTTGGCCTTCATTCCCACACCGAAAACTTCAAGGTTTTGAAACCCATTATAATTCAGAGGAATATAACACATGAGAGAAAATTAGCATTAGTAATTAATGTAAATATATGAGGGTTTGAAGTTTCTATATTTTCATTCATAATATTATAAAGAATATTATTATTAATCAAGTATGCGGACTTCAAAGCTTCATATATATATTAAATTCCAATGATAAATATTTTTTGTTTCAGTTTCATATGTTTACTATGGAATACTCTTTCCGATCCTAAATAAAGTTCAGTGTTTGACTTTACACAAATTAAGAAAATAAATTTGACTTTATTATAGAGTACACTGTTTTGTACTATTTTGATGTAGATAATTTGACAAATAAGGAAGGGAGAAGAAGTGTGAACTTTATTTTGGACCGGCCCAAAAAATAAAAGTGTGAACTTTATTTAGGATTAAAGGGAGTATTTTATTTGATCAAGTTCAATATTTTAAAATTAGAAAATGAAAATAGTGACTCATCTCACTAAGAGTGTAATTTAGAGAACATTTTTCCAATCAGTAAAAAAAAATTCATCTTTAACAAAAATAAGTTTAAAGTTGATTAACATTTATAATATCACATAAAATATTTAAAGAAAACTAAATGAGATGACGGTAAAAATGTTATAAATTTTACAATTCTATTCAAATGAATCATGTAAAGTGCACTCTAATTTAACTGAAACTAATAGGTAATTTGCTATTATTATCGTCAAACATTTTTTCTGACAGTTAAAGTATAAAATATAACAAATACAAGCATGTCTTATTAGCTAACTTTGTCGTAATAAATGTATGAAATGTGTAAAGGTTAAAATGATACGGACTATATGCTAAACATGTGATTTTCATATCTACATTTGTATCCTAAAGTTAACGAGTGAAAATAGATACACAGTAATTTTATTAAAACTAAACCAATTCAAACCAAACCATTCAGTTTGAGCAAGTTGTTACCGATCGGTTTGCTTAAGCAAACCCAAACCAAATTAAAGTGCGAATTTTTGGTTTAGTGCGGTTGGATTAAACCAAACCATTTTGCCCAGCTCTATTTAGTACCGTGAAATTTGAGCTATAAATTATAGTCATGGTATAATAAAAACACAAAGTTATAGTGTTAAGATAACTTTTTAGTTAAAATTCAGGGTATTCATATTACATATGTAAAGTTTGATGTGTTTACCTCACACCCTTCAAATGTTGGGGTGTTTAAATTATTTTTCCTATATTTTTAAGTCCATGAACAATACTTACGATTTTAATTTTAAATTAGTCATCACACCGTGATATCGGTGTATTGTTTGCATGACTATATGTCATCCGGATGAACGATGTAAGCATGAGAACATTTTATATAATTACATTTATAAAAAAAATGTTTGGAATAACTCCTTTATGTGTATGTGATGGATATCCGACCCTACAGGTATGCGGAATCCATGGATAGAGAAGCTGAAAGTGCTACGTAAAAGTGGGTAGAAATTCCGATACAGTAACAGTAAGCTATGCACAGGAAAATTCGGATCAGATCCATTTCCACAAGATAAAAGGTGATATTTATACTACAAAGAGAAATATTTGGCCACAAATAAAAAGATGCTATTATATTGTGGTTATGACACATGTATTACTTGGCTAACAAGCAGAAATGTACTAGTCTAATTACTTGGTAACACGTGTAAAATTGATTGAAGAGATAACTTCGACAGTTGGTTGATTGGTACTGTGCGTAACAGAATTGTCATTTGTGTACCAAAATGCATGTGCATGCGACACATGTGCAATCCTGAATATTCCGCTGCAACCGCCTGAATGACGTAAGCCATGGACAACTTTTGCATGGGTGATGTGACACAATTATGTGTGGAACTTGGTGCTTAAATGTCTAAGTCCAGAATCCCAAAGTTGAGTAGATGAGGTCGAGCTCGGGTATAGTGTGTTTGTTTCGAAGGGAGCAACCTCAGTTTGATGTTTGCTTAGTGAAGGTGATTTTTTCTTCCCTTTGACGTTGCGGTCGCCAGTTAACTTCAAGCTCGGTTATGATGGTGGATTACGACGTTGACCTCGGTGAGGATCGATATTGGCCTCGGATGCAGTTTTGGCTTTATCTCGATAATATGGGAGTCGAATGTTGGAGCTGACCTCGGCCGAGGTTGAGCTCGACCTCGGTGGAATAATGACTTGTTACTTCTGGAGACTTCTTTATTCGTGAACGTTGATACCACTGGGGTATATGAGAATATACTCCATCAATATGCTTTTGTGCTACTTATGATCTATTTTATGTAAATATTCTTATAAAAAATGTATATACGTATGAACAAAAAAATGTATATACGTATGAACAAAAAAAGAGAAAAATATGTAAGAAATATTAATGTAAATGGTGCATATTAGTGTAACACTCATTGCATACCCCGATATTGCCACGTTAACAACATTTTTTATGTTGAAATAATGGTAAGTATTAATAGATGCTCAGATTTATTTTGAGAATTTTTTAATAACATTTTTTATGTTGAAAAATAATATATTTACTAAAGAGTAATATTTTGTGGAGAAATGTGGAAGGAGATTTAAAAATTGATGTATATAAGATTTATTATTTCTTTAATTTAAACTTATTATTATTTAGATTTCTGCATATGAGAACATTAGTTGAAAAAGGTCATAGTATGCAGAGTAATAAAAAAATAGTAAAATGAAAATATTCATGTGTTGGGTATCATTGATGTGCTTTAAAAAACATTTTGAAAGGCTTCTTTGTAGATAACATTTATATGTGTGAATTATAGAAGTGAGTGTTATGAAATATTAGATGAGTCTAACGCTTAAGAGATATGAGCATTGATATAATGGTATGCCACTATAAAAGAGCACAACAAAGATCGTAGATGAACATACACTAATGAATACACTTAAATGAATAAATTAATCTAGCAAGGCCTTCATTAGCGACGATTTATGTGGAGGTTGACTTGACTAAAGAAATGTGACTAAGAAGAGCAAGGTACCCGACAAGGCTAAGATTCCGGATGTGACTAAGGTCCGAGATAATAAGCCTTCTGGGACTAAGGGTGTGGTGGTTGACAAATGGATACCTAAACAGGGTTAGCCTAAGTTCAGTCATACCATCAATACCAGTTCATAATAATTTCCAGCTCTCTACAGAGTTCCGTCGGGAGAAGAAAAACAATTATTGCATATGAAGACATGGATTGAAATACAGTTTTAAGAGCACCTCCCTTCCAGCTCGAGACAAAAACTTGTTATTCCATCTCTGAATCCGTTTAACCACCCTTTGTCTCAAATATTTTAAAATTTCTCTCTTAATACGCCCCAAACAGAACTGGTAGTCCCAAATATTTTTCCTCCAAACCCGCAGGTCCCACGCCCAGCAGCTCCACCATGCCTTCTCTACATCCATTCGGGACATTGATACTGAAAATTTTTTGGATTTATAAAAATTCACTACCTGTTCATATGTCGTCTCATAATCGTGGAGAATCTCCTTGATAGTCGATTGATGTG